TGTGTGTGTGGCCCTGAGGACCTTCTGGGCAGGAGACCATTTGGCTCGAAGCTCTCCCAGCCAGCACAGGATTTAGCAGAATCCTGCATAGCGCTTTACCTGTAACTCGTATGTCGCCCTGACGTGAATGATGGTGTGGCTCAGTCGGTTAGCGTGCTGTGTTTGTGATCAGAAGGTTGGTGGTTCAAATCCCAGGGTCGGCAGAGTGATTTCACAATTGGGCCCTTGAGCCAGGGCCCTTAGTCCTCGGAGCAATTGGGGATTATCTGACCCCACTTTCTCAAAAGCATGCACGTCATTTTGCATAGAAACATCTGCTAAGTTAATGTAGCGTAAATGAGTAATTGGGACATAAGAGTCGCAGTGGGAGCAGCGTCCTCACAGCATGTCATCTGAGAGCAGTGTCATCCGTAGGGACTCGGGGCTTTTAGAGGATGCTTAGATCCTACCCCGGACGTCCTTGGCATGACGCAGGCTGGCAGCAAGTGGCAGTGATGGCGAACAGATGGCCCTATCTTCCCCTTCCCCTCTGCTCCCCAGGTGGCATCCCAGGACGTGAAAAAGGAGAACCCACTGCAGTTCAAATTCCGGGCCAAGTTCTTCCCAGAAGACGTGTCCGAGGAGCTGATCCAGGACATCACGCAGAAGCTGTTCTTCATGCAGGTGAAGGAGGCCATCCTGACCGACGAGATCTACTGTCCCCCGGAGACGGCCGTGCTGCTTGCCTCCTACGCCGTCCAGGCCAAGCACGGGGACTTCGCCAAAGACGTGCACCGCGCCGGATACCTCACTTCTGACCGCCTGCTGCCCCAGCGGTGAGTGTCTGTCTCCAGAGGACCACAAGGGGGCAGCTGACCAGTCCCTAGGCCGCAAAATGGGGGCACCATCAGTGATTAGCGTCACGTTGTGTTATCGATGACCAAAACGACCAAACTGTGGATGCTGTCAGAGTATCCTGGGGTTTCCCCATAACCCAGTGCTGGTTCCAGTGGTGTCCTCCTGGTCTTAAAGTCCCCCATCTCTCTGCCCTCAGTGTGCTGGAGCAACACAAACTCTCCCGAGAGCAGTGGGAGGAGCGGATCCAGGTGTGGCACGAGGAGCACCGCGGCATGCTGAAGTAAGCCGAGCGAGGCCGTCACTGAGCGCGGCCCGGCCCCGCCGACACGGCGGGTCATCTCGGGCCAGCGCCGCCTCTCATGGGCTCGTGTCGGGTTTCAGGGAGGACGCCATGCTGGAGTACCTGAAGATAGCGCAGGACCTGGAGATGTACGGCGTCAACTACTTTGACATCAAGAACAAGAAGGGCACCGAGCTGTGGCTGGGCGTGGACGCCCTGGGGCTCAACATCTATGAGAAGGAGGACAGGTGAGTCGCCCCCAGACCCCAACTGTGTCGAGTGTCTGTCTATCGCACAGCTCACCAAGCAGCTATGGGTTAATCTTTGCTAGACTCCCCTGTCCATATACTGCGTCTGTCCATCCATCCATCTGGCCGTCTTCAGTATGCTTATCCTAGTCTGGGTGGCGGAGGGTCCCAGTGCCCATCTCGGGCTGGGCTGCCTGTAACTACATTTATTCAGTTTTTTTTTTTTTTTTTTAAACATCTTTGCTTATGTGAACATTTCCTGAAAAGTGTCTCCAGGCTGCTCGGTCTAAGGCTCTGCCATTAAAGCCCAGGCCCAGCAGGGCTGCTGCTCGGAGCCGCCGTTAGAGGCTCTCCCTGTCGGCGGACGCGTCCCGTCAGTCACTGACCCCCCCAGTCCGTCACAGGGCCGTGGACCGCAGCTTCGGACAAACATGACTGTGCCACCGCGGTCAGTGACCTGAGTTTCTCTGAGCCATGATATCCGCAGGCGTGTATTTAAAGCTCAGGCTGACTCGGACCTCCATGGGCCGGGCTCTGGGTGTCATTCCATCTCGGGGGGGGGAAATCCCCTGAAATTGTCACCCATTACACAGACCTTCTGTTATGTTCCTGCTCAGCATCTTTACTAACTTGATCAACGTGGTTTGACAGCTGTTCTTTTTAACATGGTCACACTGAAACCTTTTGTGGAGAAATCCATGGTTTTCGGGTCTAGTAGAGCGTGAGACACACACACACACACACACACACACACACACACACACACTGGGTGCAGTGTTGTCTGGGCTCAGAGAACAAATGCCTCTCTCCTGCAGTGCCCTCGCTCTTGCCGTAACCATGGCTACCCGGACTGGTTTTTCAGGCAGCGCTGGCCTTAAGAATGTGGGGCCGGCCTCAGAGCCGGGGCCCAGGGAGACGGATCCAGGCGCTTAACCCTTGGGGCCCCACCGCCGCCACCCGCCCGCACGGACACAAGGCCGCTTTGATGGCGACAGAGCGGCCTTTGTGAGGCCGGGTCCCCACGGTGCGGCACGAGTCCCCCACGCACACATCCGGGCCAGGCCGGCCCTGCCCGTCGAGTCTCTCAAGCTGCGTTTGTGTGCTTTGTAAACGTCGAAACTCCTGGGAATGCGTGAATCACTCCAGACGCGCCTCACGCCTTTCATACCTGAAATGTCAGTTTTCGGCTGGCGTGGGGTTTGTCGGTCTCTCGCCCTGCCGTAGGTAAAGAGGCAGCTGACTGGCATTGGCATCTGCCAAGCTGAACGTCCAGACCCCGGGGTCCTCCCTGACCCCAGCCCTTGTTTCTGCTGCTGGTGCACGTGGGCTTTTCAGTCGCTTTTTAAAGCTCCCGTCATTTAGCAGTCTGGCTCCCCAGCCCTGGCGTTTCATGCCGCGATTCAGGGCTTTGTGTGACACGCAGGCCAGCATCAGACTGTACTAGTTTGCAGGCATGGGATTGGAGAGCACTGATACGCCCACAGATTCTCGCGCGAATAGGAATGAGTGTCTGCATAATAAATAGTGGTTTCGATGGGCAGAAAATGGGCAGCTAATTGGCCGGCCTGAAGTGGCTTTTGTTTTCTTATTCCCATCCTGATTTCCTCTTCTCAGACTGACTCCGAAGATTGGATTTCCCTGGAGTGAAATCAGGAACATCTCCTTCAACGACAAGAAGTTCATCATAAAGCCCATCGACAAAAAGGCTCCGGTAAGTGACACCCCCCCTCCCCCCCGGCGTTTGGTATGATGCTCGGCGTGATGGGCGGGGCTCTAATGGGAGCCCGTAGAAGCAGACTCTGTTTACCTCACCGTAAAATGACCCTGTGTGTCCCCTGTGTCGGCATGTGGCACAGTGAACAGACTCTGGCCATTGTCTCGCACAGTAATATTATAGATGTGATTTACAGTCCATTTGTAAAAGAAGGACCTCTGGGTGTAAATGCACACCTGAGCATGTCCCCAGCGTGTCCCGTCAACTGCCTATCCGATGGCGCCGGCAGAAAGCAGGCCCCGACCCGATAGCATAGCGGTCATTGACCTGCCACTGACCTCACACCTGGCCATGTGGTGCCGACCAGGCCCCACCCGCACCCAGCAAGCCCCACCCCCATGAGCTCCGCAGCATTTGACAGGCCCTAAAGCGAGGAGATAATCCCCCTCGATTCTATGAAGGGAGACCCAGGTTACTTGGTTACTGGGTTGAACAGCCTGGGATGTTGTAACCATGGGCGTGAACTGAAGAACATGAACGCTGTTACAGCATGCAGTGAGTGCGTAACCGCTGCACGGGTACAGTCAGAGGGCGCAGGCCAACTGTGAGCGGTCAGCATCATGATCCTGTAAATAGCTAACGTGATACATTGGGAAAGAGTGTCACCTACAGGAGGCCATGGGAACTGCAAGTAAACAGAGTAACCATGCAACAGGTTGTGGTCAAACAGTTACTACCTCAGCTTCTCATCTATGTAATATGAGGGTTTTCTTTACACGGCCGAGACCGACGAACTTGCAGGAACAAATGACACATTTTTATAATAGATTTGCTAACGTGTTTGGTGAGAGGCAGGCATGCAGAGCTGCACGTCTGCTCCGCCCGCTGCTTTTTCTCACGCCACGAGCTGCCTCACATAACATTGCCACCCCCCCCCCACAGGACTTCTTGTTCTATGCCCCCCGGCTGCGCATCAACAAGCGCATCCTGCAGTTATGCATGGGCAACCACGAGCTGTACATGCGACGCCGCAAACCCGACACCATCGAGGTGCAGCAGATGAAGGCGCAGGCCCGTGATGAGAAGCACCACAAGCAGATGGAGAGGTAGGGGTGGGGCTGGGGGGGGGGGCATGCCTTCCACGCGCAAGGAGGTGTGGGGTGGGCATCTGTCTATTGTGTGATTATTGGCAAGACTATATAATGCTGGACTTGGACCTCGTTTGCGTTCCCAGTGTAAGATTACGATCCTCTGAGCCATGTGCAGTACAGAGTGGAACTGATTTTTTTTGTTGGTTAATTTACATAATGAATATTAATACTTTAAGGTAATGGGAGACGGAGGGGAGATTACTGCCTATCTACCAAAGATAACAGCATACATTCCACATTGGACACCGTTACCGGGCACGCTACATGAAGCCGGTGTGATTCAACAGGACTCGTGCCAGTAGTGCACCGGTTAACAACCGATAAACTAGCAGCTTAAGGGGTTTTTAATAAATCAAAGTGAATAGTATTCAGTTCCTTGATAGTTTCTGATTTATAAGGTTTAAAATAGTTTATTAGTTATTAGGATAGTTGTCTTTCTGTAATGAAATTATATGAAGATTTCATAGATTAACACCCACGTGTTAATACCGCATCTGGCCGCAGCTACACTGGTAACAAACAATATGGCCGTAGTTTTCAGTACACCGTGAATCTCCCCGTTCCAATGTCAGATCCCCAGGCAGTGCCCCCGGCCGCGTCTCCTTTATAACCCCCCCCCCCCACCCCACCCCCACGCGTCACTGCACTTTGTGTCGTCGCTCTTATCTGCAGAGCCCAGCTGGAAAATGAGAAGAAGAAGAGGGAGGCCATCGAGCGGGAGAAGGAGCAGATGGAAAGGGAGAAACAGGAGCTGATGATGAGGCTGTACCACATCGAGGAGAAGACCAAGAAGGCCGAGAGAGGTGAGGGGCCTCACCAGGGCCCTGGGGGGGGCACCCATTACAGGGGAGTCTCGAGACGATGCAGTCGCTCACTGGGCTGTAAGGGGTTAATCGTTTCCAGATTTCCTGATTGACCTTTGTGCACATTAGCTGAAGATATTAATATCTGCAGAGTCATCTGGTTGACTCTGCTCTCTGATCCCTAAAGTACCTGAGTCTAACTCAGTCCTAAAGTGTAAAGACCAGAGTTATTAAGCAAATCCAGCGTCTATCCGAGACTTTCTGCATTTACACGCCGTTGGAGAATCGGGTCACCGGGGATCCTGCAGGTCTGGGCAGCATGTAGCTGTGGGCCCTGGGGCTGAGCTCCGAGGCGGGCTGTCGCTGCACTGACGGTTGTGTTGCCTCTGCAGAACTGCATGAGCAGATGCAACGCGCCATTCAGCTGGAGGAGGAGCGCCGGCGGGCAGAGGACGACGCCATGCGCCTGGAAGTGGATCGCCAGGCCGCGCTGATGGCTAAGGAGGAGCTGGCCAGGCAGGCTGAGGACCAGCTGAAGAGCCAGGAGCAGCTGGTGAGGAAAGGGGGATGGGGGTGACCTGGATGGGTGGTGGGTTCATGGGAAATGTAGTTTTTTGACCGCCTGATTAGCTATACAGGAAGTGGGAGGTGTTGTTTGTGTGTAAGTCTCAGTTGGGTCCCTCTGTCAGGCTGCGGAGCTGGCGGAGCACACAGCACGGATCGCCCTGCTGGAGGAGGCTAAACGCCGTAAGGAGGTGGAGGCCAACACGTGGCAGCTCAAGGTGAGCGTGATGCTGCAACACGCCGCGATGGCTTCTCAAAGAGCATCCGAGTGGTTCAGTGTGCCGACGTCTTTCAGTGGCGTGCCGAATGGGCACTTGAGAGCAGGAAGGGTTTGAAACTGCCGATTGTCTCTCAGGCCGAAGAAGCTCAGAAGGACCTGGAAAAGACCAAGGAGGAGCTCCATGGGGTGATGATGGCCCCTCCCCCTCCTCCACCGCCCCCCGTCTACGAACTCATGGACGACAACGAGCAGGAGGACGGTGAGGAGAGCAACAGCAGCTACAGTGCGGAGTTCCAGAATGAGGGCATCAATGATCACCGCAAGGAGGAGGACCGCCTCACCGAGGCTGAGAAGAACGAGCGCGTGCAGAAGCAGCTGCAGGTGAGCCACGCCCCCTCCAGCCCTCAAACCCCACCCACCGCTCTGTGTCAGCTCGATATCATTTCAGATCTCTCATTTCCTGGTTTGGCTGGTTCGTGTATCTGATGGCCGGCTCAGATCTTGCCATGTACACTGCGTTACTGACATTGCCTTACTTTGTTTGAGCTGAAATCATGGTAGCTTTGTGTCTGTGGCAGTTCCCAGTCACCCTGACCTCCTCGCTCCCCCTCCCGCCCCCCAGGCTCTGACCTCCGAACTGGCCCAGGCCCGTGACGAGAGCAAGAAGACCCAGAATGACCTGCTGCACACGGAGAACGTGCGTGCTGGCCGCGACAAGTACAAGACGCTGCGGCAGATCCGTCAGGGCAACACCAAGCAGCGGATCGACGAGTTTGAGGCCTTGTAATGGCCGCGTCCTGTACCCGGGCTCTGCCCGGCGCCCCTTTCTGAGTGGTCGCTGCACTACCCCCACCCCCCCCACCCTGTAGACACGCCCCCTTCACCCTGCGACGGAGAGTTCCTGTAACACCGCCGTGCCAAACTGAGTTTTCCCGATCTAGCGAATCTGTACGCTATCGCTGTCACCAAAATGACATCTGACACGGACAAAAAAAAATGCCGCTTTTTTTGTAGCCAAGTAGCTAAAAACAAAAGTGAAATCGTGAGAGAGGGTGGCAGCGAGTGTCCCGCTGAGAAGGGGGCTGCTTCTTGGGTATGGAGGGATCACTCAGAAAGAGTATCAGCCCTAAGCTGCCCTAAGACAGCCCTAAGCTGCCCCGAAAAGCCGACCATCTATTCATTTTATTTTCCATTATATTTGAACACTTCCACTTGTTTATGTCCAGGAATCATGCATAGGTGAGTGTTTGTATATGGGTCATTCCAAAAAGGGTATTTCAGCCTACTTTGTATATTTTTGCTATTGCAGTATAACAAATTTAATTTGTATTATAAAGTTCCTATATGAACCAAAATAATGGTAGATTTGTGTTCTATATAGTTGATTTAAAGAGATTTATTTGTAAATTATTACTTTTTTTTTATTAGTATATACTTGACTGCATGTTATTAAATCAGTCTAGGAAGCTGTTAGATGTTGATTTTGTCACGCAGCTTTTCGCAGTTAATCGTGACCCTCCAGAGGCTGTCTGGTGGCCGTCACCCTGGGGCTGTGGACAGATGTTCTCCTCAAAGCACTATGCTTTAAATACTCCAGGGCCTGGCTGGAGCTTAACCTCTCTTCTGTTAATTTTTAAGATTCAGGATTTTGCAGCCCTGTCTGGGTAGAGCAAGAAATGTGCCGTCATGTAAATTTACAGGAATTAACAGCGTGCGAAATCTAAACGGCGTAACATTTTCCCCTCTGTATTGCTGTCCTGTATTTAAACTTTTTTTTTTTTTATGAAGTGTTCAACATTATGGGCAATAATAAAGGAAAGCCGTGACAAAGGTCTCTTGGTGTGACACTTAAGGGTGGTCTTTGCAGGGTAGAGGGTAAGGCTTTTACTAAAACGCAGTTCTCGGAAGCCCTGCTGCTGTCCAAGTGCAAAGAGCAAAGATCGTTTTGACTAGATGCATTTAATGGTGTTTATTTTAATAAAGTAACAGAAGTAGGTGGAGCTTTGTGACTGACAGCATGTAGTCACACCCACAGAGTGTGGCTCCACTGATTGGGTTTCAGGTAAAGGAGGCTGTCATTTTTGAGACTGTCCTCTGGAAACGTGCAGGCAGTCACAGCGGACAGCCGGTGAGGCTGAGCTGAGCGTGGCGCCGCAGTCAGACAGCCCTGGATCCGTCTTCCTCCATAGGCAGGGTCAGGCTGTGCCACCCGTTCGGCTCATGCTGTATCTGCTGCCAAATCAGATCTGGGGACAGGGGTGTAGGTCTTTTCACAGCCGCAAAAGTACAGTTTTGCAATAAGTGTGAAGCCTATCGCCTCAGCAGAAACTAAAGCCAAGAACTTTTTCTCTGAATTCTACACCCTTATTTGGGTGTTACACTAAATGAATCATGTTATAGCTAAACTATCTTTAGGTCGGAAATGAAGATTAGAGATTAAGTTCCTCTGAACTGAAAACTAGATTACTGACTAGATCTGTCAGATTACCCTAGCCAAAGCCCCGCCCCTTTATCTCCAATCTGTGTCCTCGTGCACATTACACAGCCTTCGTGCAGGACTGACGTTGGTCTTACCTCCTGATAGCCTGGTGCTGCCCAAGAGGCGCTCCCCCAGGCCAGAGCGGGTGTGTTCCCACAACTCCAGCTCCAAACAGGATTCCAGTAGGTGCACCTTGTACACGTCGCTAAACACGAGCTTGTGGCCCCACTGCGAACTGGCTGGTGTCACCTGCGTGATGCCCCTGTGCTCCGCGCCAGAGAGACACCTAGGCAGAGGAGATAATCAACCACACCATACACACGCATCAGCGTACGGAACACTGCTGACCCACATCTACAGGACTGGGACTTGGAGTCCTGCCTCGTCCCACTGTGATTGTGTGCATGCATGTGCCCTGCGATGGACCAGGATAAGTGGTTATAGATCAGGGTTATTCAACTCACGGTCCTCGAGGTCCGAGCACTGCTGGTTTTCCAGCCTTCCTTTACCTGTCAGTCAGGTGTGAAGCCTCTGACCAATCAGAATCAGTAATTATTAAACTAACTACCTGGGAGAACTGAAAACACGGCCTGGATTTGGAATCGAGGTCCAGAGTTGAAGAACCCTGTTATAGATGGATGGTTGGATCTGTCTGTTTCTTACCCTTTCACAAAAGTTTCAGTCCCAGGCTTTGAAACGGAGAGATTTCTGGCTCCAGTGACCATGACTGTTAGGTGGCTGATGTCTATTTGCCCGAAGTGTATCTCTGAGGAAAAGAATGAGACGACAATCAATGGGCCTAGACGTAGTTTCTGCTTGCACCGTGCAAAGGGACATCACCACGGCTGCCTACCGTTTCTCTGATACTGAACCCTGCCCTCCTGTGACGCCGATGAGAGATTCACTTTCACAAGCAGGCTGCCGGTGGGCCACTCCAGAGCGCCCCCTACAGACTGCTTTGACTGAAAGGAGAGTCCACAATGTCCTTATCCAGGTGGTTCTTACAGCCATACAGATCACAGTGTTAACTGCCCTGAAAAGATACACGATGCAGGACAGCACAGTGCTGACAGACATTCATGGGGCCTACTTTAGTAAATGAATTAAAATGAATGGTGAATTTCCATTATGAAAAATAATTAGCACAGAAAACCAGCGCAAGATGTGAGAGCTCTGTGACGAACCCCTAAGCAGCCCCTAAACCCCGAAGCAGCTACCTTGGGGCACAGCTGGTACCAAACGGGAGCCTCTGTGATTTCATCCCCAAACCTCCAGCCCTGTAGGGGGATGAGGACCTCCCCCAGGAAAGCCTTCCTCCTCAGGGTTCCAGAGTGCCAGACGGAGACCTGGAGTGTCTTCTTGTCCAGCTGTAGCTGTTCTATTTTGTACTGTTAATACACAGACACGGTGAGGAGGGCCGAACCCCTAGGACCTTCCGAGCTGAACGGGATTCAATGGAGCGGGATTCTGGTTCCACTTTACCGAAAAGGTCTCCTTGAAGATGGGGTTCACCGTGTTCTTCTTGATGCTAGTCTTCAGTTTACGGGCCGGGAACTTTATCGGGAGCAGGTAAATCTTAACGTATCTACAAGTCACAGGAAAAATGAAGGAGCTCATGGTGACATGGCCGTGGCCAGACAGCCGGTCCACCAGAGACGCCCTGCTTACGGGTGACATTTGCTCCTCTTGGGGTCTCCATCCGCCAGGTCCTTACAAGCGCCGACTGTGATCTCCAGGCTGGACTTCCTGAAGTTGTAGGCCACGGCCAGCTGGATCTCCCCGGACACCCCGCCGCCGTAGGTGAACTCAGAGCAGCAACTGCTCGTGCTGTTCTGGGAACAGCGAAGGGGAAGGCAGGGAAACGTGAGGTCCGGGCTGGGGCCCGATTGTCATTTCAGGGACTCCACTCAAAGCGCTACATCGGAGCCCGCTTTCAGGTGTCTTAAGAACTAAATAAGTAGCCAGTACAGCCAGAAGATGGTGGCTAGCTGCTTAGCAGAAGATCTCCTGGATAAGGAACTGTTTATTTAAAGTTTAGTGGGGGAATTGTTTGTGGGCAACTGGGGGCCCCATGCAAGCGTGCGGTTTGTGTGTTGCCAAAACTGCCGCTGCGTCCAATCAAGACACAAGTTTCACTACAGGAGCCTGATACAGAAAATGCTTCTGAAATGCTTTCTCATATGTGCTGGTGGACAACGTGGCAGATTCCCGTGAGGCAAACGTGTACAGCTACACTTTCGGCTTTGCGGGGACTTACTCTTTTGTTCCCAGCATACCCTGAGCCAGTGGGAAGGTTGTCATCGCTACCCATTGCCCTCAGATGGCCATCGAGAGAATCAACCTTCTTGGGCAGATCTCGAAGGCTGGGATCTTTGGCAGTCTGTGGAGGGAAAGTGGAACAGCGTCACTTGGGTTCAGAGTGATGATTGGGGGGGGGGGCAATGATCGGAAGGTCTTCAGTTCAAATCCCCGGGTCAGCAGACTGATTTCACCGACGGTCTCCTGAGCAAGACGCTTAGCTCAAAATCGCTCCAGGGTCTGGCTGATCCCACTTCTTCAAATGTATGGTGCTTCGGATAAAAGTGTCTTAATAAAACGTAATTTTAGCGATACCATCTGAGTGATCCCAGCAGCTATGGGTTATCTAAGGAAAGCAATATCTTATGCAGGTTTTCATAGCTTTCATAGCTTTAAGAGGACAGGCAGAGGCACAGAGACACGGCGTCTCTATGGCGACTCTCTGTGGACGCCGTACACTGGACTTGTTGATGGCCGTGTCAGACAGGCTCCGCTTCTCCCTGGTCGGGCTCTTGCAGTAATCCTCCGTCAGCAGGTCCTGATCCACGGACATGTCATTCTGGGACTTTGATATTTCTGCAGGTACAGAGACGCAGAGGTCCAGCCACAAAAAAAGATGCAAAAACACACACACACAGAACGCTTCAACACACGTAACACACAGACGGCTCTCGGCTGACGTGAGTAACCCATCTCAAAAACCCTTACGTAAGACAAAATTTATGCAAGTCTGACTGACCCCTCCCCTACCATTCAGGACACCCACCTGCTTAGCTTCCTGTATTCAATTACTGCTCATCATTATTATTTAATGACTGCATTTCATAGCTTTCATCTTCAGTCACATATAAACGAAATATATAAATGAGCAGCACTTACTTTTTATATGAGTCGTGAATGACACAAACAGGTTTTCGACGGATTTCGTGAAGGGTTTGGAATTATGCAGGTCCTAAAAATGCAGGAAACGGCCTCAGAAAGTCCAAAAAAAACGACAAAACAAGACTGGTAATCACTGCTTCTGATCAGTTGTAACCAAGTCATAGGCGACGTTTAAGCTGGAATGAAAATGAATGAAATGGCAAAGTGCATTTCAGTGGGCGGAAGGAGGCTGAGGCTGCTCACCATTGCCTTTCCCAACGACGGGTCTTTGCCGAACGGCGGCGGAGTGGGAGGCACCACATAGATGTGGCTGAAATGAAAATCACAAAAGGCTTTGCTGTGTTCCAGCTGTACCTGTTGGCATTTCAGGTTCTCAAAGGCTTGAAAAGTTAAGCTTGGGTCTCACGGGGCTATACCCAGAGTTGGGTAATTCAGATCCAGAGAGTAAAAGTCCAGACCGGGATTTTGTTTCAACCAACCAGTTGAGAACTCTGTGAATCTTTATGCTCAACTGGTTGGTTGAAACTAAATCCCGGTCTGGACTTTTACTCTCTGAACCTGAATTACCCAACTAGCCCCCACTGTCTGGGGGAAAATAGAATGGTGACTTGAATTAGCAAACACCTGAGAGTCCCTCTCAGTAGATTTTGCCACGCGGGATGGTGGTGGGAGGGGTAGATTTTTATGGCCGCAAAAAAGTGGCATCCACACCCTCCCCCATGCCCCTGGATGTCAGACTAAGGCCCCCATGTAAGTTAATCTGCCCCTGCTCTGGGTGCACTGTGTGGTACCGCACTTTATACTGTAATAGAGAACAGGTTGTTTTTCTTCATAAACTTCCGAACTGTAGACGCCTGGCACAGCATGTTAAAGTCTCTACGAAGCGTGGAACAGAAACAGCCTCGTCAGCGTCACGTAGGACATCTGGGCAACACAAAAACAACACGGTCGCTGGACTTACCTTAACCTCTGGTACGATTTCAGCAGTTTTTCCCCCATGCATTCGTATTTCTCTTAAGAAAAAGTGAAAAGACTATATCACTATCATTCTTTATTTAATGACACGATGTTTTGGCCAAGATCACAGTGTTTACATTAGGAGGAGGCTCTTTTCCATTAATTCACATTACAGAAACTCTGGGACTACAACAGAAAAGGATCATTTAGCCAGAATGCATTTTATGGTTTTGTGGCTATACAGTTTGGGAACAGCACTGAGGACATTACAAAGCAAGTAAAGTATGTTTTTAATGTGGTACTCAGCCCTGCATTATACGGCCATTCCTCCGTGGCCTGATCTGAAAGCTCTGTCTTCAGCTTCTAATTTTCTCATTAGCATAATTATGATTACAGGGTCACTCCCAGGGGAGTTGGGCTCAGTATAAGCTGACCAATCACAAATGAGAAACCTTCAAAGCCCCCAATTTGGCAATTTGTGAAGAAAATGACAGCACTGAACCTGTAGGGGGCTCCACTCAGTTGCACAGAGCACAGTTCCCGCCAGATTAAGTTATTAAGTAGTTGTTAAGTGCAAAATAAAAAAACAAAGCAATGACTGTGGATGTTTACCCAGGGAAGATGGACTCACCAGCTTCTACCGGAAACTTCTTGGCTCTTTCTTCCAGAAACCATTCCCCAGATTTAATCTTCAACTCCCTGTGGAAGACAAAGCGGTCACCTTGTTGGGTTCTGTAGCATGGAACCGTCAGCTGTGCAGACCACCATAAGCTCAGCCATATCAAAACCTCGTATCAGGAGGTCTGCATGCTGTGATGATTCAGGTCACATTTCAGAACAATGTGTAATTTCATGATGTACAAATCCTGTTTCAAAGCAGTTTTGCTTAAATTTGTGATAGAACAATTTAAAACCTTAACCATATGAACACACAATCCTACCAAACCAGCACCATGACTAAATGAACCCACCCATCTATATCTGTAGGCATGGCACATGGCACACTTCTACCCTATGGCCCCGCCCACCCATAGGCATGGCACACGGCACACGGCACACTTCCAGCATCGGGCCCCCCCCACCCATAGGCGCGGCACACGGCACACTTCCAGCATCGGCCCCCCCCACCTGTAGGCGTGGCACACGGTACACTTCCAGCTTCTTTTTCCGCTGACGACGCGACAGGCGGCACAGATGCGGTGGCTGCAGCTGTGGCACACGGCACCACAGTTCCAGAGCTGGCCCAGCGGCCGCTGGCACCTGGCACACATCCGCTCCCCATACTGCCTCATGACACTAACTGCCTCCCGGCGGCAAATCTGCAGCTCTGACCTCAGTCTCCTGAGGGAAACGGACAGGAGACCAAACATGTGCGTGAGGGTGCATCTCTTTCCAGGCAAAACACTCTCAGGTCTGTCGCCGCTGTTTGCTGAAGCAGAATAAGAACTAAAAAGAAGCGTAACAACTAAAAAACAGTCAATATGGTCAAATAGAATAAACAAATGCCACCATTATCCAGGGGTCTCACAAAGCAAACACAGGTTGTTTTTTTTTACCTCACTCGTTCGTCATCCACAGAGCGCAGAACTTTATCCCTCTGAAGAACCTCTAGAACCTTCTCCTTCTCCAAAGCTTTGAGGAGGGTGAGATCCATGCTCTCTTTCCGCTTCACGTCGGGATCCCTCAGAAGACCCTGATGTTCCCTGAACCGTGTGACCTCACGCCTCGTCGATCTGGCCAATCACGCTGCTCTGGCCCACCCCCTGGAAGGGCGGAGCTTCTCCACTTCAGGATCTGCTGAGGAGCACACACATGGGCTGGGTTCATTCTCACACCCCCGGAGAGATAGGCTTCTATTTGGACACAGTGATTCAGTCGCTGCTATCGGCCATTAAACGTTTAATGATGTCACCCTGAGATTCTGATTCTTAGCTCAGATTAACAGATCTCTCCTCCCCCCTATCAGCTCACAGTTATGTCCATACAACCACAGACTGTCATTCTTACATGATTCATGATTCCTTTGTTTACTTCATGTGGGATACGGCAAGACATCTGTCCTGATCACAAGAGATCTACATACTGTACAGATGGTATCTGTACTAGGCTTTGTGTAACCCTCCTGTCAGAGTACATAAAGAAATTCCTCCTTATCTGAGCCTCGCATGATTCAAACACGAACACGCTGTCAGGACCAGCAGATAGAGTCTAGAACAAAGCATCCAATGCATCCTCCTAATGGCATCCGTTCATCTTGCACAGCAAAGCTAAATTTAAGCTTGTGAACAAGTTACGCATGTGGAACAGAAGTGAGATGGGAGCGGTGGCCACAGCTACGTTTCAACTGACGATGGAGTTGCCAGCATTCTGAGGGTTTTCAACACAACTACCCATCACAGTCATGCTTCCTGTAGTCAATCGGCGTGGGTGGGGGGCGTGCGGAAGACTTACAAGAATGATTACAAGAAATGCAAAAATCCTCTTCCATGACTCAGAGTAACAAAATATCTACCTGACAAAGAATCCTCGCCGGCAACAGGAGCGACAATTAAGGAGCATCTGAACGCCGAACTGTGATTCCTGCGCAGCTGACATCTCAGAGTCTTAAAAGTCCCCGCCACCAGATACCGAAGGTTATTTAAACTCACTAACCTGACAATGCCGTGGAAGGCGACCACTAAACACAGGAACACGTAGACACCACCTCTGCTGCTCTTAGATACCAATTTGATATTTATCAGGAAACTGGAAGTAAAGTATTTCTGCGCGTTGAGCGCTGGAGTAACGTCTGTACAGTAAGACCAGACCTGTGAAACATCAAAGAGCTGCTATAGCTGAACTTTTGAAGGAGATCAAAGAGCATGGAGGCACCGGTGCACCTGCCTCCAGTAACGGAAACCCCAGACCTCACCCCCGGATCAGCACAGCAAAGAGCGTATGGCGGTCGACAAACAGACCGAGCTCTTTAATAAGGAGAGACGCTTACCTGCAGCCAGCCGCTCGCGCAGAATAAACGCTGCACCGGCTCGAGCCCACAGAGGAAAGGAGACGTCAGCTGACTCACTTCCTGAGGTTCCACGAGAGCCCTGCGCGCATCAGCCATGCCTGTGAACCTCTGCACGGTACACACGTCACTACACGCCTGTGCACCTCTACACGTCACTACACACTTGGGCACCTTTAAACAGCGCACACGTGATCACTACACACCTGCCCACCTCTACCAGCCTCACTACACGCCTGTGCACCTCTACACGTCACTACACACTTGGGCACCTTTACACAGCGCACAAGTCACTACACACCCGTGTAAAGCTGCCACCCGTACCGTTTCTCACGCGATCGGCTAACACTGAAAAACCAATACGGGACGTATTTTTTTCCTAGTATTTCGTGATCTGGCGCCCCAGCTCGGTAGACTCTATCGCCTGCAGGTCTGCACTGCAAGGCTGCCAGTTCTCATGCATCTGGTGCATCAAAAGCGCTGGGGCAGTTTGCAAACCCTACAGATTATTTACAAGGTAATAAAATTGTAACATACATATAAATGCGTGTGCATGTGCATGTACCCGCAGATTTGTCTCGAACTGAAAATCGCACTCCAGCCAGTTGAACAAAGTAGGCAACCCCCGTAGGATTGGCCATCCGGCATACCAGGCATTTTTCCGGTAGGCCGATGGGTTTGTGGGTCAATTTTTAATCCCAGTCCAGCCCTGATCGTGCCCCATGCCAAATCTGATGGTCCATACACGCTGTGTGCACCTTTGCACACAAGTCATTTACTGCTAAGTTAATGCGGTTACGTTAATGCGGCTCGTCGGGAGGTCGTGAGAAATCGTGCGTAGCCGTGAGCCATCAGGACGCAGAGCTTCCAACGTTTGGGTCGTGAGTTTGTTTGTAGGCTGACTCACCTAGGTTTAAATAGCATTTTTTATGCATTGGGCCTAATAAATAAGTACACTGCATGTTTTCATTGTGGCATTTAAAAAATGAAAGAAAAAAAACCTGCACCACATTTATTTTTAACATCTTACCGTACAGTTCAAAAGAAATATAAGGAATCTATGCCCGTGAGCGCTTATTACCTTTTCTTAAATAGTAATTAAATGCTGTTTATCCGAATTGTGAAGAGCATTTCACTCGATCGTCCCCATAACAATACAGCGAGACCACAGCTAGGTGGCGTATCAGTTTAACACACCCGCTTTCTGCTCACTGTGGGTTGCGGTGAATCGTTACTTCCCCCTACTGGTAACGGACAGCAGTACAGGCGCCATTCAAGCGTTGCTGCCCTTACGTTGTGAACGTAGACAATGTAAACATTAAAATATAAGCGGATTTTAACCGCAGTGTGACCTTCATTTCTAACCTACTTAATAGGCTGTAATTAATCGATATGTAACATGTATATTAAAGTACACATAAAACTAAATGTACATTTTCTCGATCCTCTCTTTAAAATCTATAACAATTTGAATTACAGTTATGTTGCTATTTTTATCTGTAATATATATTCTGTAATGAATATACAATAGATTCTTGGGATCACAAATTCACACACATTTAGCTGCTTTTAACATTGGTCACTATGGCCATTTTGTGAATTCAGCCTTGTCTCTCAGTGTAAAGGTTAATAGCAGTAATAATGATTCACAAACATGCACAAATGACTGTGTTAAAAACCGAGCTTATACATGTGGGTGACTTTTTGGAAGAGCACTCATTTAATACCTTTTTATTATAAAAACATTTTAAGAATACAGTATGCAGTTACTTGTTTAAAAAAACATCAAATTGTACCGGAAATAAAACACGCTTAATGAAACTAATTTTTTGGTTTAAAGCCTATTTCAGACAACTTTCTAAATCACTAACAGATGAAAGAAAGAACAAAAAAAAAAGCTGGCAAGTGTATTTTGCAAAATTGCAGTAACAGAGAGTCCACATGTTTGAGGTTTTTTGGAATTTTCCGATTAAAAGTACTTAAGATCCAAAGTTGAAAAACATTGTCCATAGCAACAGAAATGTTTTCAATGTCCTGTGTTTGTGAGGAATATTTCCTTTTGTCTATGAAAACACAAAAAGTCACTGTGGACTCAGTACCCTGTCCGTCCACGATCACCCGGCCAGGCAGTAACGCGAGGCTCAGAAAAGCTGCAGAAACGTCTTCAGCTGCAGAGTTTCAGTGACTGATATCCTGTCGTGGTAAAAGCTCAGTCCAGTCAGGAGCTCCACGTCTCGAACCCGAGCCACATGAAACTGAGCCCATTCCTGAACCCAGTGCAAGTCAGACCCCTTCTGCAAGAAGACAAAGAGATAACAAGGACCTGGATGAGCAGAGACAGCAGTGCCCTCAATGCATCAGGAAATATATCAAAGGTATATTCAGCCATGTATCCATCTGTTTCCATAGACATTTATCCAGCACAGAATCGTGGAAAAACCTGGAACCAAAGCAGGGGTTACAGAGAAGGGTGCAGCTGCAGGTCAAGATGAGGCATGCAGGCACACACACACACACACACACACACAAATTATTTCACACAAACATACACATGTACCCATTAACACACACCAACACACAGATAGACACACACACACACACACACACAGATGCCCACATTAACACACACAAACATATAGACACAGAGACATACACAGACACACATTAATGCACACACACTCACACGCACATTAACATACACAGACACACCCCTAAACCTTGTATCTAAGCATGTTCGGCACCGTGGCATTTTCCGTGCCACAGGAGCACCGTAGGTGGAGCGCGCACACTCACAGGACACGCCTCGGTGAGGTCCGGCCGGTGCGGCAGGATGAAGGCTACAGTCTGCAGGGGCCCCACGCAGTCGCCGGGGGAGAAGGTCGTGTTCCTGCAGCTGGTAAGGAGCACGTAGAAGTGCGTAGGGGTTGGGGCCTCATTCCTACCAAAGGAGGGCGACACTATTACTCCGAAAGGTCGGAGAGGTGGAGGGGCTAGGGCTTTTGGTTGAGGGGGTCATGTGACACTGCAGGGTCAGGAAAGGACAGTATCATATCTGCACAGTGAAAAGCTACACAATTCCTCTGGAACATTCTCTATAGTCAGACATCAGGCTTGATTTTATGGCAGAGAACAAAAATGACAGTTAAAATGGATGCATAAATATGAATATTTTATATAAACCTAAAGGCACTGCAAAGCAAACAGAGAGGTCTTTGGGGCGGACGGCGGACGTAATGTAAGGTAACGCAACATTAACAAAATGTGACATGCTCAGACTCACGGCTTGGCTTTTCCCAGCACATCATAGTTCCCGTCGAAGTTCTGGTCAAATATGGGCCCGCTCATGACATTCAATCCATTCAGCTCATTGGAGTAATTCACCAGGAGAACGTTGTGGAAATACGTCCACACAGCTGTGAAACAGAAGCAGTGGTAGATATTATAAGCCTGCCTCTTACTAAAACTAACGTGATTTAACAGACACATAAGATAAGTGGCATTAAAAGTGAGTTCTCTGATCAATTTAATATTATTCTCCTGCATTGGGCCAGTGCATGGTTAGCACCTTAGGGAAATCAGATCCTAGTACTGACTGGAGTTCAGATGTGGCCCGGCGTTTCTCCTAACTCACATGTCGGTCTCCTGCCAGGACTGAAAAGGGCTCCCCAGTCCGTGTGTGAAGGTGGGTGAGCGTGAATAGCTTTGCAGCTGCTTATGCGTTTCATTGATTATGGGGATTAATTATCACCGCTCGTGATAATAATTCGCATTATCTATATTTTATTGATTCTTTTCTATATATATATATATATATATATATATATATATATATATATATATATATATATATATATATATATATGTGTGTGTATATATATATATTAGTTCGTATGATATATACTATTCTATATCCCTTGTGGTACGAGGTTATTTTGTATTGCTTTCGATACGATAGCTTGGTATTGATGTCAATGCGAGGTTATTTTGTATTACTTATTAAAGTGTTTTTGAGTGAACCTAAGGGTGCCTGTTTGTTCCTTTGGGAGCCCTATATCCCTCTCACACCGTTTTAATACACTGTGGTATAATTCCTAAAATAAAGACATTTACAAAGAAATGTTGTTATCCAGAGCAGAGAGGTGAATTCACACTTTGCCTTATTCAGTGATGTGCTTCTGCCAAAGACGTGACCTTACCTCTGAAAGTGGGATACATGGGGACCATGTTACTGGTGATTAATGAGTCCATTTCATTCCCGAGGTCTACAGATGAGAAGATGAGATGTGAGGTTTTATAAGGGTTCACTAGACAGTTACTCGGGTCTTAAGCCAAGTGTATAGAAGGTATGCTGGACGCATGTGACTCAGCATTTAAAAGTCAGTGGTGGGACCCTTACTGGGAGGATGCAAGAAGCCGACAGAGGGGGCGCCGTCGAGCTGGGCACTAGGACATTTCTGACTTTCTCCTTGTGGGATTCGCACATCCACACGGAGACAGTCGGATACGTTCGATCTCAAAGGCTGGACGGAGTTCTGGAAAACGTTGGAAAAGTTGGTAGCCTTTCGGCTAAAAAAAAAATCCAGCTAGCCGTCCATATTCCATAAATAAGTATCCAGGACAAGGTCACAGGGCAGGGGACAACTGTGATGGGATGCCAGCCCATCAAAGGGAACACACACACACACACACACACACGGGAGGCTCAACCTTTTCAGGGGTTCTAGACAAAGCTTTACTTGGGAGACCCCTCCACAAAGAAAACTGATGATCATTTCCCTTCCCCAACACAGGTAATAGCTATATACCTATAAGCTAGAGCTGACTATTAATATAATATATGTATTTTTTCATGACTTTGTCTGTGCCCCTTGGCCGAAAGGACTCTTAGGCAGTTGCTAAATTTGCCTGATCCAAGAGATTCGGAGACTTCTGACAGCCTAAACACATATTTTTTTTTTTGCCTGAAGAGACTGGAGTAGACCTATGCAGACACAGAGCCAAGACTGCAATAAACTTGATTCATAAATATTAAAGATTGTGAAAATGACTCACCAGAGGATTAATAGTGTAAGCCACCCACAATGGCATGAAAGTGTCCCTGCTGAATCCATTAATGTAATCAGGATGGTATAAAACGCAGTGTCTGGCACTGGGCTGGAGGACCCGAGGAATTCCGTAGGGGAGGTGCTGGCGTTTCGCTCCCAGATCTGCAGCCGGAAAAAACATGGGGGGCTGAGGAGCATATCCCGTAGCGGAGCTGAGGACCACCGTGGAAGGCGCCTCTCTGAGTGTGCACCTGCATTCCGGCACTCGCTGCTTGCGTCACAGGACGAGCAGACGTGCGGTTTGGAAACATGCTGGATCGTAGCCAAGCTAACAGAGGCAACTGCGGGGTACTTACACGAACTGTATGTGCGAAGCTTGTCATTGAAATCCTGCAACTGAAACAAGAAGTTCACATCCCACATGAATATCTAATGTCCTTCATCATTACGCAACAACTCCTAACCCTTTCGTCCAATACATTATCCATGAAAAACATTAATCAAACAGGAAGTCCCACCTCTGTCTATCCCAATATGACACACCCGATGAATTTAACTGGCTGCTGAAAGCCCACCTGAGCCTTGGTGTGAGTGCGGCAGGTGCAGCCCAGGTCATCCGGTGGTGCACGCCCTGGGGCCACGCAGCTTGTGGCGGGGGACAGCTCAGCAGGAAACACGGGGGTGTGGACAGGAGCCCGAAGCAGGTGGTTCAGGCTGCCATGGGTCCCATTGTTGGGGGCAGGAGGAATGTTTAACAGATCTGGAAGCAGACAGAAATTGTCCCTTGTTGCTTTATTGTCCCTTTCTGTCCCTTGTGTCCAGGGCTGGACTGGGCATCAGGCATATCGGGCATTTTCCTGTCGGTGACCCTTTCCTCCTTACACCTTATGTAATAAAACCGTATTATGTAATAACTCAAAAAAATGTAACAAATTTCCGCTTCATTATGTAATTTTGTAATAATCGGATGCATTTTGCAATAGGCAGCTTGAACGCAATATGTGATGAATTTCCCTGAACTTTGTAATAGATTATTACATATTGCGGCAGTTATTACAAACTGCGGGAATTGCACCTTTTTTTGATGAAAATGTAACACTGTCGTAACGTGTGACTCCAGAGGCGCCGTTTCACGTTTTATTGGGAATGAACGCAAGGTTCCTGTTTCAGCCATGGGGTGAATCTCAATATGTTTACTTCACATGGTGTTACACCTGCATATCGGATATAACGGGAGTGAACTGCATTCTCTCTGTGGTGATTAAAGCACCAGACAAATACACTTCAAAAATTCAACAGCAATGTCTCTTACCACAAATCATGACCCAGTTATTGAAGATATTCCACAGGCTTTGTAGTACGCAGTTTAATTTAGGAACTATTTTCTTCTACCTCACTCCACACACTAATCAAATCACTATGCAGAAGATATCATCTGGGTGCTCGTGCTTGTATTTTCTGCTCAGCGTGTCCTTTTACAGCCAATTTGGGCTATCAGACTGCATATGAGATTTATCGGCATTGACGCCCATTGTTCCTACGAAATTTATTTTCTCTTCTCTTCCAAGTTTTCCAGTCCCCAGCCCGCCGCTGTCCAGACTTTCAGAGCTATGGAAATTTCGCTCCGGCCAGAGGCAAAACTGGTTCCGTGTGTTTATCGGACCAATGTACATATTACAGTATGTCACAACAAATCAAAGATTTTACAGTGAAAACTGCTTATAGTGATCACAGTTATAGTGATCAGCCGCTTATATGGATCAAAAAGTTTGGGGCAGAATCATTACTGTACAAATACCATTTAAATATTTTGCTTATAGTAATTACATAGTCCACTTACAGTGTTCTTTTTGGGTTTCTTTTTTTAAAAAAAACATGACAACATATGGAAAAATTGAAAACTAGGGTAATTTTTTCACTTTACTTTGTTCGTCCTAATATTAAAAAAAACACATTTAAAAATAACTTAAATCTTACCACAAAGGAGATTGTACACTTCGATATTCTCAAATGGAGGTACAGTTGTTGCAGACTTGAACCCTGGACCATATCCAATGAAGACAGCCTACCGGAAGGCAGAGGAAGGCATTAGAGAGCGGGGCAGGAACAGCAGAATACACAGCACACACTCTTCACTGGGCAATGCAGCGCATTGCACTTTACTCTGCTCCCTTTCCTGTTTTAGCCATTTCTTTTATATATATTTTATATTGATTTCATACATTAATATTTTATGGAGCTATATATTCTTTCAGTGCTTACTTCAATGTGTTTCATATTTACTTTATGAATACCTTCCAGTTATGAGTCCGTTTTGTAGTTTTGCTACAATTGCTACAATTACTGACTGGATGGTGTGAGCAGGAATTCCTAAATACTGATATACAAAAGGCAAATAAATGTCCTTGTATTCATGAAATTTCACGATGCAAGCGAGGACGGTGACAGACCGATTCTATGTAGCCAACGTCTGGAGCCCGCAGCAGTCAAGGACTATCTGCTTTAGTTATATGTTACATGGCCCTTTCGCTCACAGTGTGATACTGATCACTTTTATTCACTGAGGGGTGAGTCTCAGTCAGTTAGGCCCCAGTGTCTGTGTTCAGATGGTTGCCTGTTTAAATCCCATCCTTGGCAGAATAGTCACAGCTCCGTTGGGCCCGTAAGCAAGGCCTTTAACCCCCTGAAAAATGCTCCAGGTTGATCACAAGCTTCACACTCACCTATACATGTGTGTTTGTTTGTGTCTCAGCGGAATGCAAGATGGAATACAGGAACACTAACGCATTCCACTGTACCCGTATTTGTACTTGTGCAAACGGCAAATAAAGCATCATTTCAGAAATAAACTGCCGTGCTTCCAAACAGACCTGTGGTTTCCAAAACCAAGCTGGGACTGAGCTACGCCCAGGGGGGGGTTATTTTTAGAGGTGGCGTCTTTCAGTGACCTGCATTTAGTGCATGAAAAAATGCTCGAAATGAAATGGGAAGGACATGACTAGGAAGGGAGGGAGAGAAAAAGAGGGAGCGAGAAGGAGAGAAGGAGGGAAAGAGAAGGAGGGAAAGAGAAGGAGGGAGGGAGGGAGAAAGGGGGCAAAGAGAAGGGGGGAGCTCATGGCCCTCAAACACACAGCCATGAGTCATGGAAGCAGGAAACCAAAAACATGGGGGCGAGGGGCAGGAAAACCGCTTCCAAAGGTAGACGGTGCTATTCCTGTCCTCCTGCTGCTGCCAGTAACCACACCCTGGCAGACGGGAGGCCGCAAGGCAGATCCGCAAACTCCACATTCATTCCGATGGGAGGAGCGGCATTCCTGAAGCCTTAAGCAGGAACACTTGGGCTCCAGGTCACACGGGGAGGATGTCTGGCCCACGCGGGCGAGGGGTGTTTAGCAACGCTGATTAAAGGAGGATACGCAATCTGGGGCTCATTGCGAGAATAAAAAAACAGGAACGCAGTGGAACAGCAAACCTGCATGTTCTTGAAGACGTTGTCAGAGCCATGGAATCCTCCTTTGCAGTACTTCAGGTCTCCTGGCCTCCTGTCAGCGAAAGAGTAAATGTGCCCCCGTTAATCGCCTCGTGGCGAGTGGCCGCCCCTCCCCTGGTGAGACGGGCACTTACTGGGCAGCCTGCCATCGTTCCTTCATGTACATAAGGCCCCTCTCTATCCTCACACTGCTGGCAAAGTGCAGTCGCTTGGGTAGGTGCTCCTTCAGATAAGGCCTCATGTTCTCAGTTCTGCACTTAAATGGGAGAACAGGGGAGGCAGGAGGGATGAGACTTTGGCCAACAGACCCCCAGAAACTCAGAGATGCTCACTTTGAAATAAAAGCTCCTGTAGCTCAATAGATACAACATTGTGTTAACAGCACAACCGTTCTACTGTCACTTTAGATAATAGTTTCGGACAGATCAGTAAATGTCCCCAGCTGCCCCCCCCCCCCACTAAAAAGGTCCCTTTCCTGGGGTTAGTAAGAGGCTGTGTGTGTTACGACAATAGCTTCTGTCCCCCTTCTCATGCCGATGGAATGAGGAACACAACCATGGGGTGAATCTCAGTATGTGTACCTGACCGTACTAATGTTCTCATGTGCCTGTTTTACATCATCTTCCATCGCCGAAGGCCAGTTTCAGTACCAAGAACACAAGTATAGAGGACGGTAAAAATCCCCGGATGTTGGTCTTGCTCCGCCTCAAATATTAAAGATACAGGAGTTGCATTGGCACTGAGAGACCAATCTCATGATTCATTGGGCCCCAAGTTTGTTCTCGGAAGGAGAGTCAGCAAAACCGGTCTTGCCAAGACCACAAGTACAATCTCTGTGTTCTTGGTATTGAGATTAACCCATGAAACAGAAGGTAGCTTCTTCTGACCTTCAGTTAGGTAAATGGCCAACAATGTCAACTGAGCAAACGAACGTGGATGTAATGACTGATCTGGGAAATCATTTGCATTTACTGATGGTTATTTGATTTGCCACATGCCGATTATCAATTTAGCTCCTGCCTAAGCCATCAGCCACCTTCCCTAGACAGGTGGGCTACAGTGAAAAGCTGACCTTTTATATATATATATTTTGGGGTGGGGGTGGGGGGGGTGGCTTAGGCATCGGCCACATGAGTTTGGACAGGAGGCATGAGAGAGGGGAGGGACTCTGCAAGCGCCGGATGCTGGTTACCCGGGTTACGGCTCGTCGTTCAGAACGACGGCTTTTCCGAAGCACAGAAGCAGAGAGAGACGCTGAATCCCGAATTTCACGCACGACAAAAGGAATCCGAGCGTCCGGTTCAGAGAGTCTGACAACAGAGTAAAGTGTGTTTCCTCATACCGACAGATTCTTCACCAGTCCCTCATAGTCAACTGGAGAAAGAAGACAGGGAGAAAGGTTAGCTACTGGAAGGCCAAATGGAGATGCGAGTGAGCCGTCCGACGCGCTGGAGGATATATCTCACACGTGAAAAAGTCCTCCGGTAGCCGCCTGGGCTGAATACGTGGCGCGGGCCCCTGCAGCACCGTGAAGGCCTCCAAGTTCTCCTGGAACGCTGAGATGTACACAGACCTTTGGCAGGATGCCACCTCCATCCCTAAACAGAGGTGATTAATGACATCGTACAATACCTCGTGGAACCTCAATGTTAAAATCACATCGAGGCCAAAGCCACCCCCCCCCCCCAAAAAAAAAAAAAACACATGGAGAAAAGTGAGCAACAAAGGGTCTTAGATGGTCTCCAAACTAAACAGAGGGATGCAGAGGTGAGACATGAGGACTCTGGGGTTGGTATTCCCAAAAAGACCCACCCAAACAGAACTCCAAACATCTAAGCACAATTACACAGACAGACAGACACACACACAGACAGGATGACAGATACTATAGACACTTTATTAACTCCTGAAGGGAAATCTGAGTAAATTAAGATGGTATATTTTGCCTATGAAGGTTTGTGTTCCTGCCATTCGATGCTGCTAAACCAAGAGCCTGCAATGTGGGAGGAGCAGGAAGTTCAAAGACGATGCGCTAGGTTGGCTGTGCCTTGTTCTGTGTTGCTCCATATGTTTTAATCAGACATAATGAATATATGCACTGGAAACGGGACCGGGCAGGTAAGAGGGGCACACCTACATATTCATGCAGTGTGTTGCTGTTAAACCACACTATTAAAGCTAGACCAGAGGCATAACACAGTACAAAATTTAAACAACATGCTCATCACAGGGACATAAATACATCGTCTACCTTCATTTCATTGACATTTAATTTCAATGAAATCCCCAAACCCCTCCAAAATCCCCACTCGACCACTGTTCCCATTTTCACTTTCAAATGCAACTGACAGACGTGATGACAGGTGTTGGAAAAGAGAAATGATACAATGGGTGATGCGTAAAGCGGTGGGAGGAGCACACGGGACACGCGTGAAGCGGTGGGAGGGGCACACGGGACACGCGTGAAGCGGTGGGAGGAGCACACGGGACACACGTGAAGCGGTGGGAGGAGCACACGGGAAGCGGTGGGAGGGGCACACGGGAAATGCGTGAAGCGGTGGGAGGGGCACACGGGACATGCGTGTAGAGGCCGGCTGGCCGGCTTCCTCGCTGATCTCATTATGGGGGATTTTGGTGTAATCTGACCAGAGATGATTGAAAAGCCAAATGATTATGTTCAGGTCTCATTATAATAGGATATTACAGAGTTTACAGCAGCTAATCCCAAGACTCCCATGAAGTCGGATTTTGTCTGCTGTTATCTGTTTTTACTCGTGTGTTTTTACATTGTTGTTTGGTTTTCGGTTTTATGTTATTCAGCTTTTTAGTTTTGTATAATGCTTTGTGACTGTTTTGTCTGTGAAAGCTGCTTTATAAATAAAGTTTACTTGTTAACTTACTTAATCCCCAATGCTAAATGCCAGCAGGTTAGCAGCGGAAGCTGTATCAGTTTAGCCGTGTTTGTGTAGAAAATGCTTTGGATGGAAAGTAGCTCAGCACTGTTTCCTCACACCGCCAGGGCCAGGGGTTTGAATCCCGCCCCCTCAGTGTGTGCATGGGGTTTGCATGTCCTCTCTGTGCGGCACAGAATTTCTAGGCTAACTGCCTTGTCTGAATGAGCTGCAGTTTATTAAAGTGCTTGTATGTACACTGTCATAGACTGGAATCCTGTCCGGGGGTCACAGCAGTTATAATGTGGCTGCCATAGGCTCCTGTGACCCTGAGCAGCTCAAGGTTAGAAGATCGGAGGATGAATAGATGTTTCGGTTTAGTATAGTGACCCCCCCCAGGACGGGAGTGCGTACCATGGTCAGAGAGAAAGACGATATTGACACACTTGTGCAGCCCCCTTTCCTTCAGACTGGACATCAGATAATCCATCTTGGTGTCCATGGTTTTCAGAGCATCCAGCAACTGGAAAGGACGACTTCAGAGCATCAGGTGACCTGGAGACATGGTTAGCGGCCCTTACGCTGATGGCCTGCAGGGGGCACCGCAGGGCCAGGGCCAGCTTCTCCATCAGGTATCCAGTCACCTGCTGTATTCTCACCCCTACCTCCTTACTCTCCGGTCCGTGTCTATGGCCGCTAGAGTCGGGCTCCTCGAAGTACAGCGTGTAGAAGTCGGGCCTGAAACCAGAATGGTGACCCAGTCACACTTTTCATCGAATGAAAACAGCCGCCTATCAAACCAGTGTGATCCACATAATTTCACCAAAACAGTGTTTTTTTTTTTTGCCAAATATGTTTTGCACATAAATGCTGCTGTTGCTCAGCTGGTTTGTTTCTTGTCTGAGTAAGTCACCGTTCCCTATTCTGCGGGATATTTCACCCTGTTGACCCAGGGTCTGGTGAAACGTTTAATGGTGTTATGTGTAAAGACAGACAGAGAGTAAGCAGATAAGCTGTGTCCATTAGGCTAATGTATCACACTGGCTGGCTGCTAGCTTTTCCTAAAGTGGCTTTTAGCCATCACAGTGTAGGTACAGCTACATGCAGCTCTAGACTGACGTAAGTAGCCCGTTCCACAAAGCCATACGCAAGTCAGATTTTACAAGTCGGACTTATCTTCCTATACAATTCAGGACACTTTATAGCATAAATCACAAAAGCCAAAAATATACTAGTAGTACGTAAGGAACCTGTATTAAATGAATGAAAGATAAAGTGTACATTTACTTGCAGGCATAAGTCGCCTTTTTGTGTTAGCATTTTCGTAAACTCTGTGAATCTTGGGTATCTTTTGGCTATATTGGTTTTTTACATCAGTGGAGAGCTGCATGTACATCACAGGATGGAGGATGAAGATGAAATCTGCACCTTTCCTCAGGAGGCAGAGCCAGCCACTCCATGACAGTTTGGATCCTCTCGTGGGCGGTCACTTCCCTGAGAACGGGTAGCCATGTTAGCCAGCTGTCACGCTCACGGTCACGCTCACAGCCACGGTCACGCTCACGGTCACACTCATGGCCAAGGTCACGCTCATGGTCACGCTCATGGCCAAGATCACGCTCACGCTCACGGTCACACTCATGGCCAAGGTCACGCTCATGGTCATGCTCACAGCCACGGTCAAGCTCATGGCCAAGATCACGGTCACGGTCACGCTCATACTCAAAACTGCCTTCCATAAATTCAAAAAATGTCTTCCATAATTTTCCCAGTACAGGGTTATAGTGATTAGTAATGTAACTGTTATCATATAATGTGTAATTATAAATATTATTGATAATATTAAATATCATCGGTAATTTTTATAATTCACAGAGCAGGAATGGTGGCTTGGCGTTTAGCATTGCAGCCTCACAGGTCCAGTGTTGTGAGTTCAAATCCCTCCTCTGCACTCTTTCTGTGGGGTTTATACATTCTCCCTGTGTTGGGCATATTTCTTCCAACAGTTATGCAAATCTAAACTACCCATAATGCATCTGCATGCTGCAATAAACTTTTGCATGTGCAATCTGGGACAGGGCAGGCTAGGCTAGGCTAGGCTAACCCCCGAAATGTTGTACTGCACACAATATTTGTTGTCACGCTTGTGCTTTTTTCTTCATTTCCCCTTTGACTTTTCCATTCTTACCTGTTGTATTTTCTGTACTGGTCTGGAAAGCTCCCATTGATCGGAACATCTGACCCTGGCCAAAAGAAGGTTCCTGCCTTCAGTTTGTTGTACTTAGCAGTGAGCCATACCTGCAAGCACACATATAGCAGACCTGGAGCTTAAAGGAACCCCGCAGACTCTGCCTTCCAGGTCAGCAAACCCCGAGTCCTCAATAAATTCCTCTGTTGTCCAATAATGGACCGATTGGTGGCACTACATTCTTCCAAAACTATCTCTGAGATCTGGACTGGCCAATGGGAAACAGCTGCTAAGCTTTGGGTGGGGTGACAGATCCTCCCAGCCTGCTTTTAACTGCTGGCCGCTCACGTACGACTCCCTCCCCCTGGCTAGGGGCCAAGCCGCGGGGAACATCAGTTTCGAGGCAGACAACAGGTTAACTGTCAAGGAGACTCGAGGTGGAAGACGGTGCCCTTTCAGGCCACGAGGCAGGTTCCTACTTGAAAAATGAACAGCGGTAAACGCTGCTTTTTAACAGCAGAGCGCAGCCTGTCAAGGTTCCCTGGCCTAGGAAGCGAGTTGGGGGGGGTTTCTGAGAACAGGGGGGTTTTACATCAGAGGCTTCGTGATCTGGAACAGGAGACCACCAGCCACACATACAGCGCTCCTCCCTTTCCTGTTAAATACACACTTTACTGCTGGCACGGCACCAAGAAAAAGGTATTAAAAGCAGATTAAAATGCCGATGGCTTGGATTCATCGCCTTATTCACTTAGTATCTCGGTGATGTGGGGGCTTGGAAGCTGGCAGTGAGTGGGCACATGCGGGAGGGCCTAAGGCCAGTGAGGGATACAGCTGCATCTGCATCAGATCTACATCTCTACCCAAAACATGGAGCCCCCGTGGTCTGTTTGTTTGCACTGCCGCTAGTAGCCCACACTGATGTTCTGGCGCGACACCAGGGGTGTGTACAGGGGCAGAGCCAGAAGATGAAAGCTGATTGGGCCGCAGGGTGCCCCCTCCCCTGTCACTCACTGTGTCAAACATATCATTGGCTAAAAATCCTAGAAAAGTCCTTGCAATTCTACAAATAGAATATGTCTGCCTATTCATGTCCAGTACCAGCTGTAAATGTAAGTCTGCTTCTGCAACCTGCAACCCAGGGACTGTACACAGTTATATATATCTGTTAACCCTGATGATACATCACTCCTATCTCGGTTAGAAGATTGTCTGTTAGATATTCGGTGCTGGATGGCAAAAAAATTTCTAATGTTAAACACAGAAAAAACAGAAGTACTGGTGATTGGTCCCAAGGCTGCAAGAAATAAGTTTCACCACCTCAGCATTAGTGGCCTTCCTACACAACCTAACACAGTGGTTAGAAATCTTGGTCTTCTAGTAGATTCAGATCTATGTTTTGATGCTCACATAAGAAGTATTACTATTATAGCCAAGCTTCGTAAGATGCTCTCACTTCGTGATGCAGAAAAATTAATACATGCCTTCGTAACTACCAGACTAGACTACTGTAATGCCCTCCTTTCTGGTTGCCCGTCTGGTTCCTTAAATAAACTTCAGCTGGTACAAAATGCGGCAGCCAGAGTTCTCACAAACACTAAAAAATTTGATCACATCACACCAGTCTTATCCTCCCTTCATTGGTTACCAGTTAAGTCTCGGATTGACTATAAAATACTGCTGTTAACCTATAAAGCACTGAATGGCCTTGCACCAGACTACCTTAATAATCTGCTGACCACATACAATCCCCCACGCTTGCTTCGATCTCAAGGTGCGGGATATCTGTTGGTACCTAGGGTAGAAAGATCTACGGCAGGCTGCAGAGCTTTCTCCTATAGAGCTCCTCAGCTGTGGAACGGTCTTCCACCGGATGTGCGGGTTTCAGGCTCACTTTCAATATTCAAGTCTAGACTAAAAACACACCTATTTAGTTTAGCTTATAGGGACACTAGTTCTAGCTCTAGCTAGCTTCTCACTCCCAGTTAAACCTATAGTGTGAGGTGTAGAGCTGGGTGGGGATCGGTGCCATTGGCTTTGGATAAACTGAATTGACAGTGCTGTCACTCTAGCTTCACAATTGCTTGTGGGATTGGAGTGCTGACATTTCAGGGACTCCCCATGCCTGCATTCCCACCTGCCTCTCCCTCCTACTTATGCTGCCATAGCCATATCTGCCGGAGCATTGCACTTCATATTGCACTCATCTAACTTTTAGCACTGCCTATAGTCTCCCTTACTTTGACTAATTGCATTTATTTCCACCACCTTCTCCTGGGTGGTGCTACCTGGAGCTTTCAATCTATCAAGATGTCCAGCACACCCTGCAACGTGTGACGTCGCCACTGCCAATGACGACCGTGCATCCAGCTCGCCGTTCTGCCAGTGTCATCTTCCTTGTATGACCCGCTCCCTGCCTTCTGGCTGCCTGGCGATTGGAGGAAGTGTTGGCACCGGCTTGTCATCTCCCCCCTGCTCCCCGTTTGTGTTTCAGACTAAACTGTATTTGACTCTCCCTGCCGGCCCCTGGAGGATGGGCTCCCCCTTTGAGTCTGGTCCCTCCCAAGGTTTCTTTCTTCTAGGGAGTTTTTCCTTGCCACTGTCGCCTATGGCTTACTCACTGGGGGCTTTGGGTGGGGATGCTGTAAAGCGCTTTGGGACAATGTAATGTTGTGATAATGCGCTATACAAAAATAAATTTGTTGTTGTTGTTGTTGTTGTACTTACAGGCTGTCCCAGGTACCAGTCTTGGTTGTACTTCTCTTCACTCTTTAAACTGAAGCTGGCATTTCTTCTGACGTCATACATCCTGTTGTCCACGATCCCATGAGATTCAGGATAAAGGCCCTTCAGAGAATGAAACAGCATCAATTGTTAAACTACAGGAATCAGTGTAGCCTCAGTTTAAGTGTGATACTTGCTGTTACACCAGTCATACTCTATGCATTATTGTCACAATACAGCACACGCTCACTGTCACTTCAGTGACACTGTATGCATTACTGTCAGGATACCGTGCACACTCACTGTCACAATAGTGTAGTGATTAGGGAAGGTCTTTGTGGGATAGGCAGGACGCATAAATGAGGTGGACGTCCCACATGTTCCTACAAAAAAATAAAACAGGATAAATTCCTCATGCATTACTGTCAGGCCTGGAAAACAGATGCAGATATGCCTACACAACACCATAACACATACACGATTGTAAAAACTTGTGATTCTTCCAGAAACATATCACAGGAAGGCAACTCACGCATTTTACTGATAGCTGGCAGGTGTTTGCCGTGGTCCTCCAAGTACCCAGCTCGGAACCCATCCATGGAAACCAGAATGAGGGGCGATTTTGAGAAGCTGTGAATTTAGGTAATGGAATTCATTTTAACAAAATTACAATGATGTGAAATAATTCAGCATAACACAAGTTGGGTCCTGTCATGTTAATATTACGCTCAGATTTCTTTTTGTGTTTTGAGAGTAGCTAATATAACGCACCCAGGCAAATCTGAGACAGAATGTAGTCAGACAGCTGTTTCCAAGAATAATAACCAGACACTATGATCACTCTGTTTCCACCTCAAAGCTGAACTGAAACAAAGGGTAGGCTTGTTTTTCTTCCTCTACAAAAGACAGTGAGTAGCCCCCCTAACATCTGTATGCTTTATTCCAGAATCCTCACTCCTGTTAGGCCTGACAGTGCAGCAGAACAGACAGCCGGAGCTTGGTAGCGCAGCAGAAAGACAGCTGCAGCCTTGCAGCCCAGCAGAACAGACAGCCGCAGCCTTGCAGCCCAGCAGAGCAGACAGCCGCAGCCTTGCAGCCCAGCAGAGCAGACAGCCGCAGCCTTGCAGCGCAGCCGAAGAGACAGCCGCAGCCTTGCAGCGCAGCCGAAGAGACAGCCGCAGCCTGGCAGCGCAGCAGAACAGACAGCCGCAGCCTTGCAGCCCAGCAGAACAGACAGCCGCAGCATTGCAGCCCAGCAGAACAGACAGCCGCAGCCTTACAGCCCACCAGAACATTTGCAGCCTTGTCGTTCAGCAGGACACAGTCACAGTACAACTACTGTAGTTAAAAGAAACTCATACAATACAAAACAAGCCCCAAGGCTGATCTTCAGATACGGCCGGTCTGTCTACCATCCTCTGTCTGGATTTCTGCACTGAGTAACCACAGCCACAGAGCATGACGACGGGCCCAGAATTATGTGGCAGCATTTTCCAGATGTCTGCCTGATGGAGGGTCTCGTAGTTAGCGCTCGGTTTCTGCTGTCCTTACCTTTTCGGACACTGAACGGCCTCCATGTCTTCACAGGCCTCATTAATCCAGGTGCTGTACCCTGAGCAGCAGCATTCATTTGGGTCAGGGCACAGACATTGGATGCAGTACAGTGTGGGTAAATGGATTTGCATAGTGAAGATACAAGTAAAGCCCTAAAAAACAGCAGCACAAATGAAATGCCCACATAGTAGGCAGAACAAAAGCAGGATAATAAACTGAAGGATGTCTGGTAGCTTAACCCTAACCCGACTGCACTCCATGCATCTGGGATCTGTTAAGATAAAAAGCTGAAGGATGGACATGCAATAGACTCAGGATTCAGGGGTCTTTGTGGGCAGAAAACATGAGGGCTAAAGAAACACCAAAGTCTGATGCAAAAGCTGAGTCTGGAAAACTGCCAGAAGCTCCATTACTGTCATGTGACTGTGCTGAGAGAATCTGATTGGCTGGCTGGCAAACTGGTCAACAAAAAATGCCAGACCGTGTCGTTAGCTGCAGATGTGTAATTAGAGATGTGTGAGAGGCTGGCTGGGGTTTTTCCACAATGTGTTTATAACACCTCACAAAGGACCATCATGTTTATCGCTCAGACACAACACTCCATCTTTCATACAATTTCTACATATCAAGATTTTGCAACATTGTAATTACAGAAATGATAAACACAGAAATATTTATATCCTTATGTGTCACAGATAGATTGACTAGTTAATAAATTGTTAACTTCTTTATGTATAGTTAGTAATTAGTTTATATATAGTTTATGGGGCTGGCTTGCAGTACGTAGCTTGGTTTATGGAAATGCTAAAGTGTGATGTAATGTTTTCAGAGGTGGCACTTTAGCTCATTGAACAGAATAGAATGGAATAGTGATACTTTATTAATCCCTGTAGGGAAATTCCTTGCACTGCATGAAACACAAAGACACACATATATAGGTGTGAGTAAGCTTAAGCTACACAGTACAGGGTCAGCCAGCACGCAGTGCCCCTGACGTTGGGCCTTAAAGGACCAAAGGCAGCATCAGTCTGGCAACCCTGGGATTCAAACCAGCAACCTTCTGATCACAGAGTCATATCTCTCTGAGCAACACACTGCCCCCAGAACACTTTCGCCTTTCGCCTTTAAATCCTTCCAACGCTCTGTCTGTGAACGTTGGATGTGTGTTGTGTTGTGCGTTTACGTACTGGCTTCTCTATGTCTCCCAAAGAGCACGAATGTGTGTGTGTGAGTGTGTTTGTGTGAGTCCTGCAATGAACCGGTATCTTGGGACAGGATCCCGGGCCCTCCCCCTCCATTATACTGTACAGCTATTTAGCCAGTTGTGGAAAAGATCCTTTCGTCTGATACAACAGGACAGTTATGCTATGGAGCAGATAAATTGTAGGCAATGCGGTGACGCAATCCATTTTACAGCCATCCTTCTAGTCCTGCGATCGAATTCACAAAGGCAGCCACAGGATGATTACTCTGTGTTGCTGGAGATGTTTTCTGCAGAGACGCAATGAAAACATATAAACAGCCGAAAAAGCCCGGTCGTCTCGAAGACAGCCCGCTTCCACAGAAGCCACATGTTTACAAAAGTACACTGGCGTCTCATCATGCGTGACTGGTGATAATGTAGCTGAGAGCCAGCTTGCCAGCAAAGGGCAGCCACCCCTGATGGTGCCCAGGGAGCTGAAGGGTCTTGCTCCAGGGCCCAAAGACAAGCCAAAGCCAGGCTTGAACTGGCAACCTTCCGATCACAGGCACAGGAGCTTAGCCCATTGGTCCACACACCGCCCACCCCCTTCTGGCCAATAGTAAGTCAGCTTTCATGTCTGGCGAATCACGGGGAACCACACTGACAGGATAGCGCTGTGGTCACTCTTAGAGCTGTCCTTCAGTCAACCTCCTCTATGCTACAAAAATTCACCAAACTGTAGTATCCCGATAAAGAAAAATAAAACATGACAACATTATCCTGGACAGGATGCTGAGGGTCCCCACTCTCCCTGACCACGGACAATCATCAGACGGAAAATAGATTACAAGGAAAAACAAGGACCTCTCTCCAAATGCAGGATGTTGTAAAGGTCCCAGCAGGGACTAAAAAAATATTCACACAATGAAAAATGAAGAGGAGTGTCAGGCAGGATAATGATCAAAGCCCAACATGGACACAATAACAGTACATCCATGCCAACACAAATCCAATTTGGTCACTGTGTTAACATCTGGCTTGAAACAGACACTTTTATGTGTTTTTTTTTAATCTGTACATTACATTATAAGTTCATGGCTGAGTAACTGAGTAAATGAGTAACTTAAACTCCTTTTAGGAGGTTGAGTGATCAATATCATTATTATTATTACTTTTTAAAGTATCATAGATATAGGAATTGAAATATACGTGTATATGTGTATAGTATGTATGCTACACACACACATATATATATAAAAACATCTATTTGTAACATTATTATTACTATTACTATTATTATTGCTGTTGTTCTTGTTGATATTATTGTTATTATTTTTTATTGTTTTTATATATATATGTCTGTATAGCCTGCTATTAATGTTTTGTTGTTTGATGTCCTTTTAAGGAGTGTTATGTGTCTTATAGTTACTCTGCATTCCCCTACACTTTGTTTTCTCCATCCCGCCTTTATTATTATTCTTATTATTATTTCTGTTTAGCCCTTTTTTCTCTCCCCATGGTGATTAATGTCTTTTATTGTTATGATTGTTATTTCTGTGTCCTCCCCCCCCCGCCTTTTTTTTGTATAATCACGGTACTAGGGCGGGTGAGTTTGGAGTGGCCACACTGGAATTGAATATCTTTACACTGTAACTTTAATTTAAAATAAAGTTGTCCTCCGAAGGGGTGGGCAGAAAAGAAAAACAAAAACTCCTTTTAGACTCAACGGTGATGCTAAGTCTAAAAGTACCTCCGATTTACCAGACAGGTAAATCGTCTTTTTAAAAATTACTTTTTATATCTGCAGACAAATTGGCTTGACTACAGCTTTACACGATGATAAAAGTCAGATTCCGCCTCATAAAAATGTAGTCCTTCCAGGACGGAGGTTAATTTGAGTGTGTCCTGCGAGGGAGAGCGTGAAAGACGAAGGACAAGACAGCTCTCCACTGTGTGGCAAGATTACAGCAAATAAAAATCAGCACCATGTAAAATGAATCCATCACCTTAAAATCAGCTGGCAAATGTAGAAGTCGGCAGTACTTTACCTTTAACGCTAGAGCGTTGCTTCAGTGCCAAGATGACTGCTAAGATGCCTATCAGCAAGCACAGCAATAAAACCTGTGGGCAGAGGGAAGAACAACACAGGAGAATAAATGGCGGGCGGGGTTTGTGCCCTATGGTCAAATGGTCTCATGTTCCACAGAGACTCTATTGACTTTGTGACCTGCACTCCGCTATACACTAACCCTGCACACACCTGTTCTTTCATGAAGTTGTCTTTCAGAGACTCTCATTAGTATGAGGGCTGCAACCCAGCCCAGACAAACCAGCCTGTGTAATTACTTCACTAAGATCACTCTATGATGCTATTTCAGCATGGTCTCACTGATCTGTAAACAAATATACAGTCCTGGCCAAGACAATGCTCACTGAACCGACATGGTCATCCCAGAGAATGTGGGGACATTTTGAATGCTCTCAGCACTTTTCAGCATTAGCCTTGGATAATTTGATAGACTGGCAAAGTATGGTGTCAGCTCTTTAACGTGGAGGTTCACAGCTCAAATGTGGCAATGATTAATCATTATCACACAGCTAGGAAAAATGGGCTTCATAAGTATTTTTGTTATAGGGTCATGTAGTTATTATAGCTCAGAGGGTTGGAAATCAGTGTCCAGAAAGTTGTGGGTTTGAATCCCATTTATCACTGTTGGGCCCATGAGCAAGGTCCTTGCTCATTTCAGCTGATCCTGCTATCTGACCCCACACTTTCCTCACTTGTATTAGCAAGCATCTGCATCTATTTTCCCCAGTTAATATGATCATGGAATGTACACCCAGTGAAAAACAGCCCTTCAAATGCACGTAGTGTGGATTCACCTTCAGCTGAGAATCACAATTTCAGAAGAAATTACACAAACACTGCTGGTCCTCTGGATATTTGGTTCTGCTCCAGAAAATGCACACCAAGCTTCATAACTAGTGGGTGGTTAAAAATGGAAAGAAATAGTTGAATTCTGGGACATTCACACATAAACACAAAGGCAATTACAGGATTCAGTGCATGAAATAGTTGAACACATTGCTTGGATCATTAATGACAATTGTTTTTCCACAATCAGTATTTTTATTGCTAGTGTAATTTTCTTTATAATGCAATTAAATCAGTCTGAAAAGTGCTGCTTGCTTAAATATTTAGACCCCACACAGAACCACACCGGAACTTTTCTGCAGACTAACAGCTTTTAGAGTCTTTCAGGGCAGACGGTCATGAAGGTTCCTCATTGAATCAGATCTCTAGCGGCCAGGAACAGGACAAACTAGGACATCCATCTTTTTATTCTGTCAGGGATGCTTTGGGTCCTTCTTGGGTTTACTGTCCCACTGCAAACAAGACTTTTCTCCAAAGGATCAGTCTCGTAGGATACTACTTGCAGTATTGCAATGCACTTCATCTCGTTTTCTTGCATTTTACCTTCAGGTTTTGATTACCTTTCATCAACCAAGCTAATCACAGAGCTTTGATGTCCACAGGCAGAGATGCACGCCGATTATTTCTGTGTTCTGAACCCTTTCCCTATGTGTGATGAATCTTGTTAATATTTCACATTCAATAGTTGTCACTCTCTTTCACTCACTGGTGGTGAATGGACACAGTACATTTATTAATAATGTTGTATATAAATGCATAATCTGAAAATCAAATGATATGTATTGTCCCCCAAAGGCCATTGTTTAAATCACACTTTATTGAACATGTCCAGCTCATTTACCTCCAAAGTTATTAGTCCATTTGCATACTATATCCTCTCCACTTTCATGAACATGAAGGTCGTTCTCTTTAGATACTGTATGTCAGCACCTTTGTCATCTTCCTTGGCCACATACCCATGCTGTGTGTATGTGTGTGTGTGTTTGGGGGGGGGTGTCATAATAAAAACCTGTGTTATTTTGACGTTGTGGGGACCACCTTTTCGGTTGAAAAAAAATTGAAAAAAAACAAATCTGTGACTTCAATCAAAAAACTAAAAATGCCAGAAATATTATGGTTTGTTTGGTTACTTATGGTTAAGGTTAGGTCTGGGTAGGGGTTAAGGTTGTCATGTTGGGATTAGGAGTTTTCACACAGAAATGAATGGAGAGTCCCCACAAAGATATGAATGCAAATGTGTGTGTGTGTGTGTGTGTGTGTGTGTGCATGATGGATAAAGAAACATTAAATGGGTTTTGAAGGGTGACAAGCATTTAATACTGAATAATTTAAAAAATGATTATGAATATGAATAAAAAAAGTCTAAGAATAATTACAAATCCACAAAGCACATTTTTGGAAATTAAGACATTTATGGCATTTTCTTAAGGACAATCAAACTGTATGCATTTATACTGTCAGTGATCCACTGCCTGCTTTTCTAACACTGACGGCAGCCACGGTCTTCCGCTTCGCCATTACTGTATTCTACCATAACACTTCTCTGTCCTGCTGCTTTGAAGTACGTAGCCCTGTTGCGATCCACGCTTATGTGCTTGGCCGTTCGTTGCACACGACACGTCTTTATGCGTACATGCTCATGAAGTTATCTTGGTCTCAGTAAGAAAACCTGGCTTGACAGTGACTGCTGATAATCAGCATTGTGATGTTGTTTATCTCAGATTGCATGTTTGTTGGTTTGTGTCAAGCCGGAAATTATCTTTGAACTCTGACTTTGTTAAACCAGCTTTGTGATACAGGCCCCGGGTCATATCAGCAGTATAGCGCTTCCAGTTTATAGCCTATCTTCGTCTTGTCTGACCGTAAAGCTTCTTCCCACATCAGAATGGGATTATTCCCCTGCTTTCTGGTCAACTCCAGACGGCACACAGATGTTTACCATTTCTGTAAATGCTTGTTTCACATCAGCCTCCCACACAGACCAGTGTTACACAGAGCCTCTGGTATTATTCAGCGGCATAGCTTTGCTCCACTATCTGAAGTCTTCAGGTCCTTCAAAGTGGTTCCTCAACTATTCCTGCTCAAGAGCCTTTCTGGTCGGGACACAGAGATTTGTGGCGTCTGGCTGGTGTGGTGAAGCACCAACTCCTGTTTACCGCTCGCAGTTCAAACAGTTTGGCTTTTTTGTACTTGGTCCGTGCTCTGTGTACCATTTTATCTCTAGATTTTACACCAGGGGTGGGCAATCTTATCCAGAAAGGGCCACTGTGAATGCAGGTTTTTGCTGCAACACCCTAATTATATTATTAATTAGAGGACTGGCAGAAGAGTTCTCGCCTAAAGGTTATCCTAAAAACCTACATACACACTTGCCTATTGTGGATAAGATTGCCCACCAGTTTTAGGCTGTTCCCGAGTCCTCCTCTTTTAATACACTTCCTTCACACTCATTGCTGGAATGGCTGAAATGACTATCCTATAAAAAAAAATCCTATAGCTGAAACAACTACTGCTAAAAATACACCTCCATATGTCTGGAACCACAAGTACTGTGACAAAGCAGAGTCAAAAGCAACTGCCAGTTTTATCATTGTTGGGGCAATTTTTTCAACTATGTGGACTACAAAAAAATAAGGGTTGAGCAGACTTGTCGATTTTTTTCAAAATGCATCCAGTTTTTTCTCATTTTAAGGATCTATTTATGTGTCTACTGTATGAACTCGTAGTAGTTAAGACTTATAACCATATGGTTGTTGGTTTGAGTGCCTAAAAGGATAGTGCCTTATGTACGTCATCTAAAAATGCCATCACACTTTTTCTCCATGAGAAAATGTAAAAAAAAAAACAAAAAAAAAAACATTTGTTTGGAGAAAAGCTATGAATCTTAAAGTAAATGGATAAACATCCCATCCATCGATTTTCGGTAACCGCTTGTCCTATTCAGGGTCACGTGGGTACTGGAGGGCCTACAGTCTGGACCCGATCCGGGCCAAAATACACACAAGTCAGTGAGGTTTTATAAAAATAAAACACACAGTCTGGCGGAAACCTACAGGTCAAGTCAGTGCGAATGGCTAAACTGTGAACAGACAGTCACGGCGCTCTAAAAAACCGGGCGGGGAACATACGGTGTTTTCTTGGCAATAGACATGTCTCGTTTTGAAAAAGTTACACCTCATTTTCACAAAAAGTACTTAAACTTAACTAATTGATTCTAGATTTTAAGCAGCACTAATCACGGGGAGTTTGCATGTCCTAATTTTAATTCAATATTTGGTTTCACACGCAGTTTCTGAAACAATTTATTAAACAGCTGTTTAATAAACAACATATATACTTAAATGAAATTTTACAAGCGGTGACTGCATGAAATGATATTTTATGAGAACTGGCGGTGTTTCTCAGTTAAATGTTTGCCGATCGAGGCTTCTTCCCAGCTGGACGAGTGCAAAGTTTAATTTTCTGAGAAAACACATTACAACGCAGTTACATGGATATAAGCGCTCAGCGTGAGCTCACTACAAATAACCATTCATCTAACAAGTAACAATAAATATGAGACGTGCTCATACACGTCTATGTTTGGGAATAAAATTACAGCGTAAAAAAAGCCCTAGGTTTGTAATGGAAACTTTGCAAAAGGCAAATGGCATGTACACATTCAGTATAAATCATCTGTGTCTGGAGTCTGCAAAGCCCACAAAGTTAACAGATATCGAGTCTGGCACTTAAAGGTGCACCAGGAAAAACTAAACAAAAACGTCCGTTTTAACGCAACATATTAAGAAACATTAATTGTATACAGGTCAAAAAGTTCTGAAAATTGCTATTACACAACATTACGGGCAATGTTTTTAAAAATACCGTTTTTAAAAGTAGTATTCAAAAAAGGTTTTACGTAAGGGTTCAGTCCTGTTGCGTGTTATAACAGGTACAGGTATTGGCCAAGCAGGAGGTGAAGGGTACTTTGAATCTGCAGTCATCTCCAGTTTGAACTTCACACGTGTAACTTTTTCGGATCGGTTATTTACTGGTGCCCCGTGGATGGCTCACTCACCGCAAAAATAAGCCGGCGTTTGCGCGCCTTCCTCCCGCTGCTGTCACCGGCATGTGTCACCTCCTCCTGGGTCAGTAATGTGGCAGCCTGTGTGACTGTATGCTCCTCGGCTTCGGGACACCCCGACCCATTGCCCTGGTTCTCCATGTCTCTGGAACCCTGGCTTCCAGCGCCGCAGCCCTTCAGCTCTCACACGAGGACCGCCTCCTGCTCTTTGACGCGATACCGGGGCGTTTATTTCGCTGCTGAGCTGCGCAAGGAGCGCTGAATCCCACATTTGCACATTCGTGTTAATATTTTACCAAGTGTGTTAGAGATCGCCAGCCAAGATCTCCGGCCCCGCTGACCCGTCTGCAGCTGAAGTTCTATATCTATCGGTGATCATGGTAAGTTTAATAAAAACTGACTGACATTTAACGAAGAAACCACGTGTTTAACCTGCTCAGTGGAATATTTAGTGAAATTAACCTTAGTGTACAGCTCGCAATGTTTCAATCCGTAGGCCTACAGAAGAATACGAGCACCACCTAGTGAAATTGGGCACGTCTGCACTCTCCGGTGTTAGAACTTTTTATGCTTCTCGATATTCAGAATGATAAATTGCACTGAATCATTGTAGCTATAATTCAACATGTCTGAACTATATTGGACGGAATATAATTTCTTTAATGTAATCACGCGGTTTCCCACTGTTGTGAATAGGGCTCAGTGGGTAGCGCTGTTGCATCACACCTCCAGGTCCGGCGGTGCAAATCCCTCCTCCGCACTGTTTGCGTGGAGGTTGCATGCTTTCTCTATGTTGCGCAAGACTCCAGTCAGTCGAAAATAGTGGATTATTATGGGTTGGTGTGCCCATGTTGCGACCATGACCAAAAGAAGCGGTCAGAAGATAGATGGATGAATGAATGAATGAATGAATGAATGAGTTAAAACGACCACAGAACGGCATTGTCCTCCCGCAGTTGAATGTTTTAATTTTCCGCCTTTATTCTAGTGGCCCAGGTAACAGGGCAAACACAGACAGCACACTTCACTGCTTCGGTCTATGTACCTTATATAAAGATAACATATACATTTATCTTCAAGTTAGGCTACATCTGTAAAACATGATAAACGCTGCGAGCAAAGTCGGAAAATGGCCTACCTGTAAAACCGCATTGTTTATTATTTGACTGGGATATATTGCCACAAAATATTTAAGATGTTAATATTAGTTTAGTATTTTAAACTCAGGGTGTTTTCCGATCCTGATTACTGTACATGTTGAGTACATCAGGTACCTTCACCCTTCCGCTGGGTTATTTATCTGCTCCGCTGGGCTTTCTTATCTTTTTTTTGGGCACTCGTCAATGACGTGCATAACCTTAATGTATTTTAACATTATTGCGTCTTATTCACAGAAAGTTATATCAAGACAAGGACGCCTCCGTTGCACACTGGCTCCCACAGCGGTGCCACTGTGACTGGGGTTCATGGGAAACGTGGGAAGGACGTACATTCCCACAGACTCAAACATTTCCAGCGTATATATATACTAAAGTATATATCCTTAGAAGGGACATTTCTATTGCTACTTTGTGGTACGCCAACCCAGAATCATGCTTCCTCGGCATATATTTCTGTCATCTTTGATGTACGCACTGTCATTTATGTGGAAATTTAAAGCAGAGAAACAGACTATAACAAAGCGCAAGTCTACAAAACCCACGATGGTACTGATCCTAGAATAGAAATCCTAGCTGGAAAAGCGAAATATATAACAGCGTCTCCCAAACTCACAAACCTCAGTCGTATACTCGGGAGTTATAAATTGTCCAACAGGGAGAATCTTTCAAACATCCACAAGTCATATTTATCCAGGGACCGGGTTATACCGGACGAACTGCAAGAACATTATTAATTGTGTACGGATGGCGTGATTTATAATGAGATTTTTTGTGTGATTCATAATGCAAATTATTTATGAACGTGACTCACTAAAAACATTGCCCTAGGACAGAGTGAGGCTCTCGAAATTATGCATCACTTAAAGGGAGTCACCAGTAGGTACGTTGCTAGAGATTTTGGGCCCCATGAAGGTATATCCAGACCAATCTTGTTATTTTCCATTTTTTAGGCCCCCTGCCACTCAGGGGCCCTTGGAATCGTCCTACCCGCCCTTACAGCGCCCCTGGTCACCAGCACTAACCTGTTTCAAGGCTGGGCACACTAGGTGAGTTTTTCCTTCCACTGCACCCATGTAACCTCGTCTTTTGCACGAGTCGTGTGCTTTTCTGTCTTTTTCATGGACCTAAAGGACACTGGTTTAGCTCATTTCAGTGTTGCCGACTTCGGTCGGCTGGGTTTTCGTGAGATTTTCAATTCGAGACAACTCTGCACAATCATTTACATGTATGTAACAGTTCTATTACCTTGTAAATAGTCACTATGGGTTTGCAAACTACCCAGACGCTTTTGATGCAGCTAATTTTAGGTTTATAATCGAATAATATAGATTTGCCATAAGATTTTTTGCGAGTGCGTGAGAATCAGAAAGCGTCACGCCAGATGCGTCAGAGTTGGCAATCCAGTCATCTGTCATCATACAAGCTGACACACAACCAACATTAACACCCTAAATCTTAACCTACACGTTCGCTTTGTCCTGTATGGATGAATAGGCTGGTTTTGTCGCCACTTCGCTGATAACTGACTCCTGATTGGTTGGTCTGACGCTGTTCCCTGATTGGTCCCTGACAGGATTGGACGGCTACAATCATGTGACCTCCCCTTGCCCAGAACAGGGTTTGAAACATTCAGTACCTGTCTCTCCGTTCCGCTTTAAAATATAATGATGTTACCATGCAATGTGTATAGTAGGTTCCGGAGGGAGACAACGAGCTAGCCTTTAAAAACGGCCCCACGCTCCCCCAAGGCTGAACGTCAGCTATTCAGCCCAAAGGTCCCTATCTGACAGGATAACAACACTGACAAGGAGGTGAAGAAATTGTGTAAGGAAATGCCTTTCGATTTATAAACCCTTTCACCAGCCGGTGGAGCAAACAGGGGCCCGGGACGAGCCTCCGGGTGACAGACAGAAGAAGCGTTAGGGGGGAGGGAGGGGACTTCAGAGTCTACACCCCCTCCACAGAGAGAAGTAGGGGGCATTGACGGAAGGCGGTTTCTACAAGTCCCAAATGTTAATGCAAACGAATTTTTGTGAAATAAGCTTTCACCTGCCCCCAAGCATTCTTGTAATATTTTTATACACCACCATGTAGCTGTTTAGGCAGCGCTAAAGTTAAACACTGATTTGAATTTTCTGCTCTGCCGCATCAAGGTGCTTCCCGAAACGTGGCACAGATATTTCCGCCTGCTGCTCAGACCCGGGTGGACCGATTTTCATAAGGCAGCCTGTCATTTCAGTGTCATGAATAATACAGCGCACTGTAGCTCCTGCAGGGCGCGAGTCCTCAAGCTGACGCTCAACCGTCCGTTTTTTTCGGCGCGGCCGTGTGTGCGGGCTCACGCGTGTGGGACGGGAATGCGCTCTGTTGTACCAGGTGTCTGTTGACGTGAAATGCGTTTCCCATTAGACAGTGTAAACTTAATAAACATAATGAATAAACATGTGTTGCCGTGTGTGTGTTTGTGCATATAGATGTATGTGTGGAGACAACTTCCGGTGAAAACAAGCAGCAAGGACAAACCAAGTAGAAATCTTAATCCAGGAATAACCCCACAAAAACCGTTTCTGTCAGCTTTTCAGTTTTTTAATTCTCCGCAAGGCAGCATGTGAAGATCTTGCCTTATTCACCTATCGTCTCCGTGTATGCAAACCTTTCAGATAAGCCTGCCTTATGACGCACAGATTAATTTAAAAATTAAACCTTCTCTTCATCGTAGCCGCGGGACAAACTGTTAACCTTTTCAAAATACAGACGAATTAGGTGCACGGCGTCTCCTTGCTGAAATCCAAAGGAACGGACATACCTATGGGAAATTCTTATCCTTTTCCTTATAGGCGGCCTTTTTTATATAAAGACCCGTACAACAGTCATTTGGGGAGTAGAGAAAAACAGAAGAGAATGAGAGTCAAATCCATCAACTGGTGAGTCATTAATCACTGAACTGTCTGTCTGACTGATTTGTGCAAATCCCACATAAACCTCTGAAATTTGCCAGGTAAATCACATTACTCAGAGCTCTGTTTCTACTCCTCGTAACACCAGTATGAGATGAGGATAAGACTGTTAACTGTGTTCACACAAGGTAGAAGTCCTGCAGGAGGAGTACTACTATACCAATGTTAACTGAATATTTAAAAACCTACGCGTCTTGCGTCTCCCACATGAGATAAACACTTCATGATGGTCTTAACAAAATATACCAGTTAATAATTATATTCTTGTAGAAAGGTTCAAGCCAAGAGCTCATATCGAATACCAGAATTTTCAGGTAGGAAGCTATAATGAAGAGGACCAAACCAGGAATAAGACCTTTGAAATACGGGTGCATTAAATAACACCCACAATGAGGACCGAGAAAAGTGCTGAGGGGGGTGTGGCTTTGGGATAGATGTGTGATGCTGCTGTAATGAGCCCAGCAGTGGTGGCAAACATAACGACCCCCCAGCAGGCAAATTAGGCTTTGGCCTCACACTGGCATGAACGGGGGGGTGGTTCCTCTCCGTTACAGGATACATTATAATCCTATAATTAATTGATGAATATAAATGATCCTGAGGATTTTATTTCACATTCCAGTAATATGATCACACAAGACTTTGTTTTTATCACTTTTATTGTTAATTCTCAAATATTTTCTGTATATATATATATATATATATATATATATATATATATATATATATGTGTGTGTGTGTGTGTGTGTTAAGTTGCCAAGCTGTATAGCTCTCTATTAAAACTCTGCTAATTACGGTTTATTGTGCCTAGAAGAGAAAAATCTAAATTAGTAAATATATCATATGGTAGAATGAAATAATAATGGACACAAATCTCAATTGTGACCTTCAAAGTTTTTATTATCTTGCCAATGCTGTGAAAATGCAGACCTCCTTTCCCTGACCATTTGGCACAGCGTGTTTGTTTGCTTGTTTGTTGTTTTTATATTTTCAGTGTCACACGCCTCTGTCACATGTCCAGCAGGTCACATGTCCTCATAAGTCATTAGAAAGACCTTCAGGGCATGGGATCACTTGTGTCCACGTAGCTGCGTCAAGGGACACGGTTAAGGGAATTTGTCGAAGATGTGAATCTACATATATTGACACGGAATTCAATTTGCAATTAGCAATTCATATGAAGGGAAAGTTTGTGGCTTTGAGATAGCAGGACTGTTTTGATTGGAGAATTGTGTTATGGTCTATAAATCTCAGAAGTGCTTTGTGATATTGATTGCGATGCACCGTATGTAATGATGAAACTGTCAGATCTGATCTTTCAGCGAAGCTGAAGTTGATTTCATTTTGAAACCATAATTATGTGGTCAAGTACCACCCCGCAGATCAGAGTTCCCCCACGCTGTTTGCCCCTACAGCAGATGTCAATAAAGCACAGTTTTAACCATGAGTGGAGGAACAATTATAGGAATAGTGTGTGGCTCAGCAAGTTTAGACTCTGTGCCTGTGATTGAAAGGTCATCAATTCAAATCCTGAGGTCAGTGGAGCAATTGTGGCACCTGGCCCTTGATCAAGACCCTTAATGTCCACTTGCTCAAGCAACTAGCTGAGTCTGCTTTCTCAAATACGTGTGCTGCTTTGAACAGAACAGTCTGGTAAATAGAAGGTAAAGTGACTTTGACAACAGACCATCCCAGTTTGAAGCAGCAGAATAAAGGTGCAATATCATATTAGAAGGTAACAAAACAAAAAAATAAAAACTATACATTTCAACTGGTATGTTTATTTTGGTTGCATTGCTATAATATGGATGAGAGTAATAGAAATATATTGAAGGAAAACAGTTCCATAAATGCAGGTATGGGGCAATGCAGATTGAGGGAGACCCTTACATGCCATATGTGTATGTAATGACATTCATTGAAGTCACAGTTACAGTTAAAATGAACACAGACTGTTTCTTCTGTATAACACAGCATAAAACTGTTAAATTTGATCTACTCATCCAGTTCTGGCCAAAGGATACAATGCATCTGACAGGAACCTGACACAGGCATCGCCTGGTGGAAGACCATGGGTGAAGCTCCCATCCCACATGATTAGAGACGTGCTCTCTGTGACCCCAGGAGTGATCAATGGTGAAATGGAAAACCAAGGTAATTGATTCCAAGTGCTGCCTCTCGAGACTTTGAAGACGAAACACTCACATGCGTAGCTCGTCCAATTAACTGGAACATGTTGCTTGTCTCCTATGGTACAGCTGATCAAACTAAAACTTCTAAGCCTATACCTCCATCACACTATGAGGATGTCTAACAATAGCACCTCCAAAGTACGGAGTGTTCAGCTGTTACCTTTTGAAGACCTTTAATACGAACAACTGATAATCATCCTACTGCAAATATTTCTGATTACATGTGAGTCTGAAAATCAGGCCAATCTTCATCTCAAAGGGTTCATTTTTTCATGCACTTTCCTCTCTCAACGAGGAGCAAATAACGATCATTTCAGTTGGTGGAAAAGGAATATAGTGATTTAATTATAATCATACACGACTTCAGATCTAGCGGGGCTATTCAAATATTAATTACGTGTCATTATAATAAAAAGTCTCGGCAATGCAAGGGAAACGAACAGCATTTGTTGGTTTATGCAAAGTATACATACTACAGATGCATTGTGTACATGACTAAAAGGCAACATTATAATTAGGGCAATCTTTCCTGGATGCTTCTATTTATACCGAGACCCATTATAAGCACAGTAAGATCATTGCACTCTAAAATAAAATAAATGTAGTTCCGCGCCAAGCCGAGCTGACACCCCCGACGCGGCTCTTCACTTGGGCCCGCCAAATTGAATTAATGACGGCTTTGTATTCAGCCAGGGGTTCGTCACGGCACCGGGGCTCTGACCTCCCGCTGCAGGCTCCAGGGGATCATAACACACACGTGTGAGTGGCAGGGACGTCGCTAGGGCTGTTTTTTTTTATTTTTTATTTTTTTATTTATGCATTAGCTATAATAAAAGCTGTATACTTCTCAGTCATTTTCAATAGAATTAGCCCCGCCTAGCCTCCATTTTCATAAATCTCTCATGACACCTTTGATTAGTGGGACCCCAACGGAGTGAGTCTACCAGAGGGCCATTACGGACGCGCCTCTGGCATTAAGAACAAGCGCAGAGTAAAAAATATAGGGTACCATAACACACAATAAATGCTAAATATTATCCTATAGGCCTAAATGAAAAAAAAGTTAACTTGTCTAGTTCCATAATATATGCAAATATAATTCCTACTTCAGTAAACACAATAGCTTAAATCGCCGGAAGGTGAAATCTCGCACCTTGTAGTCTAATTGCGAAAAAGGTTAACGAAATTCATAATTACGCGCAGGATGATGGAAATCATCCGATCCGTAAGAACATTTGTGGTCATCTGAGGGAAGCCGTTTAAGAAGAAAAATTACAGGGAATAATACGTAGTAAATATTCCCCTGGAGTCTCTCCACCAGCTATCAGCATCTATTAAGCTGCACACGGGGTTGACTTATTGGATCGAGGCAATAAAGCAGCGATCAGGCCGTGTTAGAAGCCCCGCCAAATACTCAGTTTTTACCCCAGGCTATGCCCTCACAACAGAAGCGATATGCCCGGTCAGTGGTTCAATGGCACTGACAGTCTGGTATAAAACGAGAGAGATAACAGGGGATAAAAGCGACAAGGCAAGGGACCGGCATAAGATCTAAGCGCACCCATTACACGGAAGAACGGGTTAAACAAATTTAAGGTGAATTGTTCTGATTTGGTGACATTTTTACTTCTACGGCCGCAAGTTTGTGACAAATGCTGTATGTTGTTTCTTTAGCTAAAGTGTAATGGTTACCTGTTATCATATAGTTTGCAAAACAGACACGTTGCATACTCTCTGTGATACAGAATTTGGTATTCGACTGCATTTAAACTTCTACATTTACAAATTGTCTTGGAAAACAGCATATATAGAGTGGATGCAGTTCAATACAATATTTACGTTAACTTCAAAACAAAGCGCTCTTTTAGTATACCATACATATTTTAACTCTGATTCCGACTTTCCCTGTCCTTTAATTGTATGCAGATGAGATATTTTGATAAGTTCTGAGATATGGCGCCCCGTAGCCCATCGCATCCCGCTAACTGTACATCCTAAATAGGAAGGATTAGTGTGCTGCGATACGGGACGCGTGCACATGCCATAATAGAGAGGCAAATACACCTCAGAACAAATGGCCAAATAAGGAAGCCGCGCAGTGGGTCTCCGGCGTGGGGGTGGTGCTGAAGGAACAGCTCCCCTTAACGTGGGCTTTGGGAATAAAGTGATCAAAGAGCGTCTGGCACAGCACAGCGGAGCCATGAGCCAGCCCAGCTCTCCATCCTCAAGATGTGCATTTAAACTTGTGGAGAGAGCAGCGCCAGCCAGATCATGAAGAGGCAAAACGTGCGGACCCTCGCCCTCATCATCTGCACTTTCACTTACCTGCTGGTTGGAGCGGCCGTCTTCGACGTGCTGGAATCTAAAAAGGAGACGACTCAGAAGAAGAAACTGGACGACAAAAAGGAAGAGCTTATGAGTAAATACAACCTGACTAAAGTCAACTTTGACGAGCTGGAAGGGGTGGTGCTGCAGCTGAAGCCGCACAAAGCCGGCGTGCAGTGGAAATTCGCCGGCTCGTTCTATTTTGCAATCACTGTGATCACCACAATAGGTAAGACTCCGGCGCAAGTTACTCAACACTACAGGTGTAAAGCAGAAATCGCGTTTCATATCAGTGTAGATGGACTTTCCTTCAATACCAATAGCTTGGTGATTTGTCGATATCCGGGCATCAGTTTTAAACGGCAAGAGGCTGGTAATAGTCCTAAAAAGCTGAATTGGCGGATTTTGAATGGTATATTTCGAGCGGCATTAGATGGCTTTCAGACGTTTGTAGACGGTCTTGGTGGATCTAGTCCAAGGTTGCTGCTCCAGACGCGCATCCATGTAAGTCTGTGTTTATTTTAGTCCATGACACATGTGAAGCCAGCTTGTTGACGCCTCGAATATAATGTGCCGTTATAGATATTAAGAAATGTTGCGATTACCGCCTGGAATTTGTAATATAAATGAGTAAAACGGGATTTTCATTAAAATACAACCTATTTTATAGTTTACGATCCCAATTCCACATGATGCATTGGGACTCTGCGAGTGGCGTGACACATCTTCAAAGTGAACTACGGAGGGATTTTGAGCTGTTTGCTCGAGCCGCTGTGAACCGAGGCAGGGTGGATTATAAACGTCTCAAAATACAGCAATGGCAGAATAAATCGAATCCCGCAAAACAGACGTATGAGTTAAACTGCAACCGGTTTTGCAATGAAAGGGCGTCCCAGAAAATCATTATACGCGAGAGTATTGTTTACAGCTCAAAGTCAGCCTCCTCCAGTGGAAATCATTTCAAAAGTTCCGTAAATATTTTCATGAACTTTATAATAATAATAGTAGGCCTAGTAGTAATAATAATAGGCCAAATGTTAATAATAATAATAATAATAATAATAATAATAATAATAATAATAATAATAATGCCTTTTAACCTAACTGCATTTTAACTGATATCCACAATGACAGCAATATTGTAGCGGGAAGACACGCATATTCCCGCTGGCTCTAAATGATAATTACATCAGGGCGGTTATTAAAGCCCCTTCGCAGAGAGCACGTCATGTACCCTAAAGATTCCTTACTTCTCAGGGTCAATCTGTAAGCCATTATACTATAATTTCAGTTAATAATACCTAAAAGTGCTTGATTTTATGTATGACATGCATATGTTTTGTCGCGAAACGTTGCGCAATACCTTTACACTATACAGTCTCTCATTTGACAATTGTCTCCCTGTATAGTTTAAAAATAAGCTTTTCGTGATTTACAGACTGGTAGAATTGGATTGAGAGAAAATATTATTAGACTTCACATGCAAAGCAAACGGAAGATATTTAAATAAAACGCTTGGAGAGAGCCGCAGAACCAGTTCCCTCCCCTGTCCCTCTAGATTCCTTTGGGAAGGATCACGTTAATGGAAGGAATGCTGAATGGGAAAAATAAATAAGCAATTGGAAAGTGTTCTCACATATGTGGCTTTTGGCATCAGGGCGGTTTTGATAAACTCTCGCGGACCTTTCACATGGTTCCTCTTTGGCAACCTTAGCTGCGCTGAATGCCAACCCTCCGTTCTCACGTCAGGCAGCCGAGCCGCGGAACTGCGGGTTTCTGCTGGGTCCGGCCCGGCACGACCGGACGCAATAAATCAATGTGTCCCACTGGCTGGAAAATAAAGCAACAAACGCGACTCGATTAACGGGCTTTGTTTATTTTCAGTTGTTATGCATGCGTGGCTTGAGGAAATTACTTCAATTACTCTGCATAAAAGTTTATTCGTACTTTTTTTATAGCGGTAATTTCGTGCATTGACGCAGCTGGGTAAGACTATTTTGGGGTGAGAATGCCGGCTTATGAAAATAAGTATTCAAAAATATCCCAGGCTGTTCTTTTACAAATAAGTTATTAAAATGTATGTTTTGGTCTATATTCTACATATCTACATATCTAAGCGTTCCGTGTCGCATCGGTCCTTGGGGTGACATTTTACCTTACATTTCATCACTAATGATGAACGACTGCATGGTGGTGGATTGTGGTCTCAGAGCCTCTTATGTTTGGGTTTTGAATCTGGTCCTGGGCCTGAGTGAGGAGTTTTCCATGTTCTGCCATGTCTGCCTCTGTGTTTTCCTCTTTCTGTTGTCCTCTTGCAGTCTGAAGACAGACAGTACGTGTGGCATGATGGCATTCTGTCTGGGATGTACCTTGCTTTATGCATTATGGGGTATAACTGTACCCGGCGAACATCATGTGGCGCCCTATAGGCGAGCTTCACTGCCGCTGTTGATGTCTTCCATATAAATAGTCCTCCATGTTTTCATTCTATCTTTTTTTGATCTTTGCTCCGTCAGTTTTTATTTGGGTATTGATGTCTAGTGTTTGACAAAACTTCAGAATGGGCAATATGGATGACCCAAGCAATTCCGAATGTGTTGTGATCATTCTGTCACGGTCTTGGGAGTGTCTGGCACGGAGGTGAGGCATGGTGCAGGCAGGAAATAGGTGGACGATCCACTGGTGGCTCGCAGGAAACTGAAAGCACTAGGGACACTACAAAACAATGGACTGCGAGGAGTCAAAACTAAAAAGGGGCACAAAGTAGCAGAATAATTTACAAAGAGTTACACAGCGAACGGGCAGGGAATCCAAAACTAGCAAAACCACAGGCAACAAGAACATCAGCAACTGCAACAACAATGACTCCACAAGAAGCAGGGCAGGATCAGGAACTTAAATACGGAGCGCAAACAAGGATAACGCAGGACAGGTGAGAACAATTAACAAGGGCTGGCAAAACGGGCAACAGGTGAAATGAACAATTAAATCAAGGAGCTAACAGGGAAACTAAGAACTGACAAAGAAACAAGGAAACAGAATCTAAGCATTAGGGAAATAATGAAGGCAGGTAAAATAGAAACAAAGCAAAAAAAACAAAACAGAATATAAGTCGCGAAACGCAGGAACTCGAAAGACAAATGAAACACCAGGGAAACAAAATCTACAAAATACAAAAACAGAGGAAGCAGAATTTGAATACATGACAGAGGGGTCAGTGACCACACACTCAGCTCATTGAGCTATGCAGCAGTTTGGGGAGAACTGGAAACACACTAAGGATTTATGAAGAGGAACAGGATGACCAGCGACATCTGCTGGCCAAACAGGGAGGAGACATGAAAGACTGGGACAGATGGGTACAGACCCTGACAGTTGATGCCAGATATGGTTGTTCCAGCAGTTCAGTAACAGCTGCAGTTATGGGATTTTCATACAATACTGTCTAGAGATTACAGAGAATGGTGCAATAAAAAATGATCTTGTTAGAGGCAGTTTGGTTGGCAAGAAACATCTTGTTAATAACGGATGTCAGCGGAGAATGGCCGGACTTGTTAAAGCCAACAAGTTAGCCACAAGTGCAAAAACTACATAAGGAAAGTTTCAAGCACTCTGTTAAATCCATGGCGTGAAGACTTCTGTAGGCAACAGGGTGCTCTTAATGTATATAATAAATGCCCACCTAGTATAGTTGATATACACTATTATTCAAGTTTGGGGTCAATTAAAAATGTCCCTGTTTCTGAAAAAAATCGATTTTGTCCATTAAAATAACATCAAGTTAATCTGTAATACAGTGTAGACATTGTTAATGTTGTAAATGACTATTGTAGCTGGAAATGACTGATTTTAAATGTAATATCTACACTGGCGTACAGAAGACCATTATCAACAACCGTCAGTCCTGTGTTCTGATGGTACGTTGTGCTTGCTAATCCAAGGTTATCATTTTAAAAGGCAAATTTGGCCATTAGAAATCCCGTTTTGAAGTTATATTAGCACTGTTGAAAACTGTTGTGCAGATTAAAGAAGCAACAAAAGTCTACTTTAGATTAGTTGAGTATCTGGAGCATCAGCAATTGTGGGTTTGATTGAAGATGGCTAGAATGGCCAGAAATAAAGAACTTTCTTCTGAAACTCATCAGTCTATTCTGAGAAAGAAAAGCTATTACATGGGAAATTTCTAAGTGACCCCAAACTTTTGAACATTAGTGTAAATCTGCCATTAATGAAAAATAAATAACCCCCTTCCAGTACACTGACTGCCTGTTTAAATGATGATCTTGAAGACAGCTCAGTGTGAAAAGCTAAATGAATCTGATGCCTGATAGAATAATCAAGTCCAGCTCCTTCCAAGGATGTTAAGCAGCAGCAGTTCAATTCTGACTGTGATGGGAGAACCCCCCCATGGAAGTTTAGAGTATCTGAAAGACTTTAGAGTATCACAGTGCAAGTTTAGAATACCTGCAAGAGTTCAGAGAATACCCAGGAAGGTTAGACTATCTGCAGGGGTTTAGATTATCCCAAAGAAGTTTATAGTATCCCTGGTGGCATTTAAAGTACCAGCAGGAGTTTAGAGTATCCCCAGTGAGATTTGGAGTACCAGCAGGAGTTCAGAGAATCCTCAATGATATTTAAAGTACCAGCAGGAGTTTAGAGTATCCCCAGTGACATTTAGAGTACCTGCAGGAGTTTAGAGTATCCCCAGTGACATTTGGAGTACCTGCAGGACTTTAGAGTATCCCCAGTGACATTTGGAGTACCTGCAGGACTTTAGAGTATCCCCANCCTGCAGGACTTTAGAGTATCCCCAGTGACATTTGGAGTACCTGCAGGACTTTAGAGTATCCCCAGTGACATTTGGAGTACCTGCAGGACTTTAGTGTGTCTCTGGGAACCTTCAGGTTGCCTGCAGTTCCCTCGCATAGTGAGACTTCAGTATAAATATTGAACTCATCATCACTAATGTTCTATGCACTCATCACTCAGATATATAATATCACAATGGTCTGCTGTTCAGGTACTAAAGTGGTTTGGGAAATCACCACTGTATAAATTTGTATTATCCTGACATAAGCCTGGTGGTTAAGATTAATTTTCCTCCATCTCTGGATCTCCGAATAGTGAAACTTACTTTACAGACAATTTCTCACCAACAGACCGTTGGACCTGAAAATGCAGAGAAGCACCAGTGATGGTAAAGCAGTAAAAGCTTTTTATGTCAGAAGT